TAGAATTATTTGTTTTAGTTCTGTGAAAAATGACTTTGGTGCGGCTTTTTGTTTGTTTGTTTGTTTTTAATTTGGCCACACTGTGCAGCTTGCAAGATCTTAGTTCCCCAACCAGAGCTTGAACCCGGGCCCTGGCAGTGAAAGTGCTGAGTCCTAACCACTGGACTGCCAGGGAATTCCCTGACTTTGCTATTTTGATAGGGATTGCATTGAATCTGTAGATTGCCTTGGGTAGTATGAATTGATTGATTCTTTCTAATGTATTTTTTATTTCCGTTATTGTATTCTTCAGCTCTGCTTGGTTCTTCTTTATGTATTTTTACTCTGTTAAACTTCTCACTGTGTTCATCCAGTCTTCTCCCAAGTTCACTGAGAACCTTTATGGTCATCACCTTGAACTGTTTATCAAGTAGATTGCTTACCTCTACTTTGTTTAGTTCTTCTGGAGTTTTGTCTTGTTCCTTTGTTTGAGCATGCTGGTAGGTGGGGCTGGCCAACAGCCTGATTGGCTACTAGACCCTACCTCATGCAGTGGCTGCTGGTCCACTGGTGGGTCACAGTGTGGCTAGCTACATGGCCCAGGAGGTCCAGGGGCTGGTACGCATATGCTGGTGCGTGGGGCCAGGCCCTGGCACTAATAGGCTTGAGGGAACACTAAAGGAGAGATTTGTGACAATTGGTAAAATTTTATGGGCTGTGTAGTAGAATGTATTGCCTAAATAATAAGTTTTACATGTGATAATGGTATTGAGGCTATGTGGCAGAATATCCTTATTCTTAGGAGATACATCCTTAAGTATTCAGAAGAGAAATACCGTGGTGTTTGTAATTTAATTTCAAATGGCTCAGAAAAAAATATTATATGTGTGCATATACATATAATAAATAAATGTGTGTATATATATATATATTTATATATATGTATTATATATTATCCAAAACAACAAAATACCTAGGAATAAAATTAATCAAGGAGGTAAAAGACTTGCATACTGAAAACTGCAAAACAGTGCTGAAATAAGTTAAAGAAAACCTAAGTAAATGGAAAGACATATCATGTTCATGAGTTGAAAGAGTTTAATGAGTTTAATTTTGTAAAAATGGCAATACTCCCCAAATTGATCTATGGATTAAATGCAATCCCTATCAAAATTCCAAGAGCATATTTTGCATAAACGAGCATAAGATTCATGTGGAATTACAAGGGATTCCCAAAGAACAAAAACAATCTTGAAAAAGTCAAGGACCCCACCTCCTGATTTTGAAACTTACTACAAATCAAAACAGTGTGGTATTGGCATAAGGATAGATACATAAATCAATGGAATAGATTTGAGAGGCCAGAAGTAAACTCATACATCTATTGCCAGTTGATTTTCAACAAGGGTGCCAAGATCATTAAATGAGGGAAAGGATAGCCTCTTCAACAAATGGTGGTGGGACAACTGGATGTCTACATGCAAAAGAATGGAGTTGTACTGCCAACCTTACACCATATTAACAAAATAACTCAAAATGGATCAATGACCTAAATACAAGAACTCAAACCATAAAATTATTGGACAAAAATATAGGGATTTTGGATTTGGCAATGGATTTGTCTCAGATATGACAATGAAAGCATGATCAACAAAAGAAAAATTAGATAAATTGGACTTCATCAAAGTTCAAAACTATTATACATCAGTGGACATTCTCAAGAAAAGTGGAAAGATATGTACATAATGGGAGAAACTATTTGGACATTATATATCTAATAAGGGTATAGCATTCAGAATATATAAAGAACTCTTACAATTCAATAACAAAACAAGCCAATTCAAATACAGGAAAAGAGCCTTTGTGCACTGTTGGTGGGATTATGAAATGGTGCAACTTCTATGGAAAACAGTATGAAGGTTCCTCAAAAAATTAAAAATAGAACTACCATATGATCCAGCAATCTCACTTCTGGGTATATATCCAAAAGAACTGAAAGCAGGGTCTTGAAGAGATATATGCATGCCTATGTGAATACCAGCAGTATTCATAATAGCTAAGAGGTGGAAGCAATCCAAATGTTCATCAACAGATGAATGGATAAATAAAATGTGGTATGTAAATACAATGGAATATTATTCAATCTTAAAAAGGATGGAAATCTTGTCACATGCTACAACATGGATGAAGCTTGAGGACATGGTTAAGTGAAATGAGCCAGTCACAACAAGGCATGTACTGCGTGATTCCAATTGTATGAAATATCTAAAGTAGTCAAATTCATAGAAACAGAAAGAAAAATGGTGGTTACCAGGGATGGGAGAGGGCGAAAAAGAGTTCTTTAATGAGTATAGAGTTCCCATTTTGCAAGATGAAATAGCTCTGGAGATGTTTCACAACAATGTGAATATACTTAACACTACTGAACTGTATACTTAAAAATGGTTAAGATGGTAAATTTTATGTCTTTGAAAAAATGCATTAGAAAAGAAAAAAAAAAGCCTGAGGAATTTTCCTGGATTTTACTCTTTGCCTCATGTTAACTCACTACCACTACTTCAATAAAAATAGAGCTAAAATAAAAAACAAAAAACGGGCAAAGGACTTAAGTAGACATATCTCCAAAGAAAATATATAAATGGCCCAACACATGAAAAGATGCTCAACATCATCAGTCATTAGCGAAATGCAAATCAAGACCACATTGAGGTACCACTTCACACCCCCTAGGATGAATATAATTTAAAAAGAGAGAAAATAACAAAATAACAAGTGCATACATTTCTGGGGGGAATGTAAAATGGTTCAGCTGCTCTGAACATCGTTTGGCAGTTCCCCAGGGAAACACAGAATTACCATGTGACCCAGCAATCCTGCTCCTATATACCCCAAAGGACTAAAAATAGGTACTCAAACATACCAGCACTATTCACAATAGTCAAAAGTTGGAAACAGCCCAAATGTCCATCAGTGGATGAACGGATAAACAAATTGTGATTTACACATACAGTGTGATAGCATTCAATCGTAAAAAGGAATAAAACACTGATACATGCTACAACGTGGATGAACGTCAAAAATATTACAAGGCAGACACAAAGGTCACATAGTGTATAATTCCATTTATATGAAATATATAGAGTAAGTAAATCCATGGAGACAGTACACAGATTGTGGCTGCCAGTAGCTGGTGGAAGGGGGGCGGAATGGGGAGCAATTGCTTAATGGATGCAAGGTTTCCTTTTGGGGTGATGAAAATATCCTGGCACTAGATAGAGGTGGTGATTGCACAACATTGCGAATGTGCTAAATGCCACTGCATTGTTCACGTAAAAATGAATAATTTTATGTTGTGTCAATTTCATCTTAACAAAAATTACATACACAGGATTTAAATGCATCATTTCACCAAACTTTTTACACTAACATCAGATGATCGAACAGGATTTAGCAGAATATTTCAGCTTTGAATGTGAAGTAGGCCTAAACTCAAAACTTTGTGATACTGAAATGGAAGATGGGATGTAATAATCTTGGAAAGTAAAAATTATTTTTGTTTATTTTAAGCAGGAGTTTTTTTCTTGAAGAAAAAATATGGAGTAAATATGTAATAGATAATAAATGTTTCTTCCTTCAGGGTACTGATTCAGGGTACTGTGGGCTTCAAAGTTAGATCACCTGGGTTCTCATTCTCATTCTCCCAGGAATGTTCTGGAGGACTATCAGATACACTGTATCTTTCCTGCATCTTTCTATTCTAATAAGAGTTGAATCATTGCTGATTCAAGATTTACTGTAATACACTCATTCCTTCTCCCTCTGCTGGCTGGCTCCATACTACTACACTGATAGACTAACACATAGCAGAGCTGGGGTTATGATCATATAACAGATATTTACTGAGCCTTACTTATTAAGTACCATACACTTTGCTGCGTCCTGAGTATTCCACAGTGAAGTTAAGACATGAGCCCTGGCCTAATTTATCATGTAGTAGGGGAGGCAGACCATAAGCAAACCATTTATGTATCATGAGTAAACAGTACTATAAAGGGAAATAGTGCTACACTAGAGGAGAGGAATACAATTTCTCGTTGTGTGTTCAGGAAAGGCTTCTCTTAGGAAGGACATGCAATCTGAAAAGACTGGCATGGCATTAACGAATGGCGATAGGTGAGCTTTGGACTGTGGAAAGTTTATAAAGCCAGGTTAAGAAGTTTGGAAAGTATTTAACTATAGTGGGAAATAAATGGTGCATTTCCAGAAAGGGAGTGATAGACTTTTGCGTTTTAAAAAGATCGCAGGGGCAAGACAGAAAGCAGGGAGACTATTTAGGAGGTACCAGGACTTGGAGTAATTATGGTTTTTGGCTTGGGTGACAGGGTGGCTGAGTGTATCATTCTGTGGTAGAACGATGACTGCAGCGGTTAGAGGACAAGCGGATGATCGAGTATTTAAGGAAAAAACAAAGCACAGCTTTCAAGGCGTCTTGTTCTGAACAGCCAGAACCAGGGCAGGGCACGCTCCTAAAGTGGAAATCTTCGGACGGAGGCTGAGGTACAAGACAGCCCAGGAGAGCCGAACTCCGATCCCGCTCTCCCTCTTTGGTGTCATCAGAAGCAGTGGCCGGGACCGACCGGGGACGCTCTCTGACCCAGAACGACGGCGGAAAGAACAAGGAGTGGACAGACTAATCTTCGGAACTAGACCTGGGCTACCTCACTAACACCGCCCACCGCGGATTAGCCCCACCACCGGAAGTGCCGCCTACTCACGCTCATTTCCGCTACCCCAGGCGTCTGACCGTCTCGCGAGAACTGGAAGAGCCTATGTGACCTGGGCTAAGCGGAAGTTGGGTCTCTTTTTCGTGGCGCCTCGGAGGCGGTCGGCAGCTTCAGAATGAAGGTGCGAATTGGTGGCTGGTGTTGCGCTAGGTTTGAGTAACGTGGATCTAGCCCCAGAATACGGCGCTGCGCTCCAGAATCCTGGCTCTGGATGGAGAAGGGCCTGAGACAGGAGAAGGATCGCTCTTTTGGGGCCGGAGCTCCTTGGGAGAGCGGATGGCGAGCGATTGCAGCTGGAGCTGCGCCGGGCGGGGAGCGCCATGGTGGCGTCCTGCCCCCCAGCTGGGATAGAGGCGGCCCTGCTGCCCGGTTGGCGGCAAGTAGGTCGGGCTTCTTGCTCCGAGAGGGTGAACGGCTGCGCAGCGCCCTTCGCCCCGGCGTCATTCCGCGAGGCTTGAAAGATGTGTCCTACTTTTTTAGGGCGGTGTGTCTTGCGCGGTCTTACGTACACACATGCTTTAGCGAGTAGTATCAAATTTTCTGTTAGTTGTGTGTGGGTGACAGGAAAGGCTTTTTGCAGTGGAATAACCTTTGTAGTGGTTCTGCGATTTTCATGAAGTTCTTTCCCCCCCGTTTAATTTTTAGCTGAACATCTCTTTCCCGGCCACTGGCTGCCAGAAACTCATTGAAGTGGACGATGAACGAAAACTTCGAACCTTTTATGAGAAGCGTATGGCCACAGAAGTTGCTGCTGACGCTCTGGGTGAAGAATGGAAGGTAAAAGTGGCCTGCCGGACTGCCGAATTGAATTGTTAGAATATTTAAGAGAGATGGTAAACGCTGTTGGTAATTGGTAAATGTTATGGGGTTCAAACTCGGGTTCTGTCTTCTGACCTTGGGTTTAGTTACTTCCAGATGTCACTTTATAACGTGGAGCTATCACCTGGCAGGGTTATGTTCGTGAAAAAATACATAGTTCTTGCTATGCAAGCTAATGGTCTCCATTTTTTTTTTGAAAAGTGCCAAGAAGGGTGGTTTTTTATTTTTTTGTGGTTCATTGATGCTTTGTTCCTTAACATAGTCTTTCTCCCCCAAGAGCTGTTAACTCTGGTAAAGCATCGGCTAGAAGTAGCTTGATTGAAAGGACTTTGCTAAGGGAAATTGGAAGTATAGACAAAATTTAGTGACCAGAGAAAGCTGTTAAGTTTCAGATTGGTCTTAATGAAGTGTACTTGTTGGAGGCCACAATCTTTTGTTCTATAATGAGTCATTGTGTTCTCTTCCAGGGTTATGTGGTCCGAATCAGTGGTGGGAACGACAAACAGGGTTTCCCCATGAAGCAGGGTGTCTTGACCCATGGCCGAGTCCGCCTGCTACTGAGTAAGGGGCATTCCTGTTACAGACCAAGGAGGACTGGAGAAAGAAAGCGCAAATCTGTACGGGGCTGCATTGTGGATGCCAATCTGAGCGTTCTCAATTTGGTCATTGTAAAAAAAGGTGAGATTTTTATTCTTGAGTTAATTTTTGTCCACACTGATTTAAAGCTGATTGTCGATTGATTGATTAATTTGCAGTATCCACAGTTTTGACCAGTGGACTTGTTTTAGCAATGCCTGAACAATTTAAGGTTCTTGTTTGTAAGGAGGTTGTTGAATTAAAACGTCTGTTCATTTTTCTCTTTCAGGGGAGAAGGATATTCCTGGACTCACTGATACTACTGTGCCTCGTCGCCTGGGGCCCAAAAGAGCTAGCAGAATCCGCAAACTTTTCAATCTCTCTAAAGAAGATGATGTCCGCCAGTATGTTGTGAGAAAGCCCCTAAACAAAGAAGGTATGGGGGATTATGCAGTTTAGGGCTTGCTTAATTTCATTGATTCGTCGTAGCGTTTTGTGTGCATGTTAGAAGATAAAAATCTGCCTACTAGTTACCTAGAATCTGAGTTTTCAGGAAGATAGTGGGGGAGAGAGAGGGTCAAGACGTGCAGTTGGTATGAATCCTTATTATATCCAGTGCCCTCTAGAGTGATAGAATTTTTCTTGGAAATTTGCCTTTGGGTCACTGATAAGTTCGTTCAGAGATAACTTATGAGACATTTTAAGTTCGTTGCTTTGGGGTTAGGAATTGAAAGAATGACAGAAAACTCTGGGGTTATTGAACGTGCTCTCACACCACACCCCCCCCCCCCCCCCGCCACAACTTGCTTTCTTTCTATATCAGTGGTTTTAATTTTTTTGTTTATCAAAGAAATACATGCTTTCATCCACTTAAGTTGCTTTAACTTCTGGCCTTGGTTTACTTCAACTGGAATGTGGATAGCAGTAGAGTTGTGAGAATTAGAGGTTGGAAAGAAACTTTATTCAAAATACCAGGGAACAAGTGTTTGGGGGTTTTCATATGTATATAAATTTATTTAGGTGTAGTTGATTTACTATGTTGTGTTAATTTTGCAGTACAGCAAAGTGATTTAGTTATATGTATGTACATTCTTTTTCATATTCTTTTCTATTATGGTTTATCCCAGGATATTGAATATAATTCCCTGTGCTATGCAGTAGGATCTTGTCTATTCATTCTTTGTATAATAATTTACATCTGAATTCCAAACTCCCAAATCCATCCCTCCCCCTTGGCAACAAGTCTGTTCTCTGTGAGTCTGTTTTGTAAAGTTATTTGTGTCATATTTTAGATTTCACATGTAAGTGATATCATATGGTATTTGTCTTACTGTAACTTCATTTAGTATGATAATCTCTAGGTCCATCCACGTTGCTGCAAATGGCATTATGTCTTCATTGTAGCTGAGTAGTATTGCATTGTATATACCTACCACATCTTCTTTATCCCTTCATCTGTCGGTGGACATTGAGGTTGTTTCCCTGTCTTGGCTATTGTGAATAGTGCTGCTATGAACATAGGGGTGGCGTGTATCTTTATGACTTATAGTTTTGTCTGGATATATGCCCAAGAGTGGGAGTGCTGGATCATATGGGAACTCAATTTTTAGTTTTTTCAGGAACCTTGGTGTTTTATATTTTAAGAAGGTATATTGTTTATTAGGCAAGATAACCCATCAGTAGTGAGGTCTGCAGCAGCAATGCTCAGTAATATTTCTGTAGTAAATTGAATGAATATTTATAATAAGTGGAATAAATAGCATGTTAATTTGGGGTTGGGTTTTCTTGACATCTGAAAAATTTTGCTTGGGTTTTGGTTTTCAGGACTGGGGGCTTAAATAAGCTAATACCTGGTATATGGTAAGTGCTCATTGGTCACTCATACGAAATATTTGGGCACCTACTGTGTGCTGGGTATGACTTTCAGTGAAGTAACTGGCAAATATATGGTAGTTCCCTGCAGTTGCACCCCTGGAAATATCATTAGTGTACTAAGTGCCACTTAACAGACATTTAAGATGGTTCTTTTTTTCTTTATAATTCCAAAGGGTTTTTTATTTTAGCAGAAGCTGGACAACTGAGCATTTAGTCTTAGAATATTTATCTGAAGTGTTTATTGCTCCCAGTAGGTGTCCACAAACTAAAATCACTGCATCTGAAAAGACTCCTGTTCTGAAGCAGATTTATAATCCAGAGGATTTTGGATTATAAATCACACAGGCTAAATGAAGATATTCTCAGGAATTTCCTGGTGGCCCAGTGGTTAAGACTCTGCTTTCACTGTGGTGGCCCAGGTTCAGTCCTGGTTGGGGAACTAAGATCCTGCAAGCCGGGCAGCACCACCAAACAAACAAATAAATAAATTCATTCATTCGTTCGTTCATTCATTCATTCTAATATTAAGTTTCACTCCAAGAGTATGGTGGGATGCAGTTAATGCTTTACTTAGTTTTCATGACAAGGTAAATATGCGGTTAATACTGTTTTAAAATAATGCTCATGTGTCTTAACGGTACAGAGATATATCCTCCCAAGACAATGTAATTGTGGAAGGGAAATCAAAGTGAACAGAAAAAAGTATGGGGTATGACTTCCAACTGTTGAGCAAAGTAACCTATTACTATGCTGAATTTACGTATGATCTTGAACTTGACATCCAAGCTATTGGTATAGGAAAACACTGGTCCCTAGTAAACTGTCTCATACAAATAAGTTTTCATAGGAACTACTGAATTTGACTCTGTTTCTAATGCTTTAAAAATGTAAATGTGGGTCCTATTGAACAAGGGTATTATTGAGGTGATTGAGTCATTATCTAAATTTTTAGGTAAGAAACCTAGGACCAAAGCACCCAAGATTCAGCGTCTTGTTACTCCACGTGTTCTGCAACACAAACGTCGGCGAATTGCTCTGAAGAAACAGCGTACTAAGAAAAATAAGGAAGAGGCTGCAGAATATGCTAAACTTTTGGCCAAGAGAATGAAGGTAAGTCCTCAGTGTGTGTGTTGGGGGGATAGGCCTGGCTTTGGATTTGCATTTTTAATCCAGATAAGCATTAACTGCTTTTTTTGTTTTGTTTTGTTTAGGAGGCCAAAGAAAAACGCCAGGAACAGATTGCCAAGAGACGGAGGCTGTCCTCTCTGAGAGCTTCTACTTCTAAGTCTGAGTCCAGTCAAAAATGAGATGTTCTTAGAGTAACAAATAAATAAGATCAGACATCACATCTCCTTTATTGACTTTTAATTGATGATAAAATAAACGAAGGTCGAGAAACTTACAGAAGAGGAGGTACTGTATAATCTAGTGGTAGATAAAGTCTGCAAGAGATACCTGAAAGTGATAATCCTTCAGATTCAGACACTGAGACTGAACTGTGATAGTGGAAGAGATGGCCAGGACAGAGTTCCTTTGGTGGGTGGCTCAGGAAAGGACTCTTAGCATGTTCATTGGCTTTTTAGCAAGGCATTGAACAATACAGGGGAAATAAATGACTAGGACTATTAATCTTTGATACACTTTATTTTGAGGAATACAGTTTTTCTTAAAGATCTATACACGATACATGAAAAGTGCCCTTGTGAAGATGGACGTTTGTCATATGTAAAAAGGATAACTTGTTAAAAGCATAGTTAATGGATACCATTTTAAAATAGTTGACAAAGTTTTTAAAACCAGTGCAAATTTAATGCATTAACAGAAAACTTCAACTCTACTTGTTTTTATTATATTTCACTGCGAAGGAGTTGACGGTACCTCTTTTTAGAAACACTCTTGCATCAGTGAAGGATGCACAGAGAAAGTATACTTTTCTTTTGGCTGCAACATGCAGGTTGTGGGGTGTGGGATCTTAGTTCCCTGACCAAGGATTGAACCCAGGCCCTTGGCAGTGAGAGTGTGGAGTCCTAACCACTGGACTGCCAGGGAAGTCCCAAAAGTATGCTTTTTCTAATGTACTGTGTCTGGTTTCTATAGTACTTGCAGTTAGAACCTTCATTCAAACCATTATAGACTAGAAGGGTCTTAAAAGAAGGCACATTAGGCTTTAAAAGGTGCTCCTTTGCCAGAGTATATATTAACCACAGGTGAGTAAAATTTTCAAGCGGCTGTAACATGTAGAGACTGAAGAAGTGCTTCAGTTAAGTGTGTGTAAGAATCACCTGGGGATCTGGCTAAAAAGTGGATTAGGATTCGGTAGTTTGGGGCCCCACAGTCATTAATAAGTTCCCAGGTTAGGCCAATAATGCCAGCCCTGAAGCAAGATTCATAGAGGAGCTCCCCATAGCTTTTTTTTTTTTTTTAAATTGGAGTACAGTTGATTTACAATGTTGTTACTCTGCTGAACAGCACCCATAGCTCTTAATGAAATATTAAAAAGTTACAAAAGTCTTAAAGTCTTAATTGGCAATTGACAAAGTTATAAGTTGAATTTACAGCATTTAAAAAAAGATACCCAGTGCCAGAAGGACTGACACTACAGCTGAATCCTAGAAGGTAACATGCCAAAAGGCAGGTCTGGTGTAAGCCCAGAATTCTAGCTAGTAGCTGGTTGATTCTAATGCATAAAACATGAGAACCATCCTGCTTTCTTATTTTGAGGAGTAGTCACTGAAGTGGACAGATAGGTAAGGTGGGCCTAGACTATACTAGTTTATGAAATCTGGCAGATTTAAGAGTTTAACATTGCAAAGACACTGAATCCTATATTACTAGTGTATACCAAAAATGAAAAGGGCAACAATTGAATATCCCAAAGGTATGTCAGACTTGTTTATGATTGTTAAATCATGAACTGCAGGTTGCTATAATCAATCTATGAAATGCAGTTAATACCAAATCTAAAAGCAGTGTAAGGTTATGCTAAACAATCTGCCATAATTTGAAAGATCGCTTTCAGAAGTTAATCAGGATTTAAGTCTCATACAGTCATTCTAGATATTTCTAAAATCTATAGATAATGATTTGAAATCTTTTTTTTTGGTCTTTTTGCTACAAGTTTTTACTGCCCTTTCTGTGGTAGGTGCAAGAAAAGGCCTTTAAGCAATTTTAATACAAATCAGTCTCAATTTCGGAATGACAGCCACAGGCTAAGCTTTCCAATATATAATGGCTAAGTTATTTAGATTAATATTAAAAAGCTATTAGAAATGTTATATTTTGATACAATATAGCAGAATATTAAATGTGTAAGGAGATCTTTATCACAGGGTCGTTTTAGTAGGAAGTGCTTTGGTAATTTACTTCAAGTTATTGAGAACTACAGAGAAATGGGAAAACAGACAATACTGGAATTCTGAAGATCACAAAAGCTTGAATTGCTGTACACACTTCAGGAGCCTTAAAAATGTAAGACAAGCACAGCAAACTTGAGAAGTTTTCATTTTATTCAACCTTGATTTTTTTATATGCAAAGTAATTCCAAACTTTCTGTTGGGGCAATAAGTGTTAAGTATTAAAACTAGTACCAAGTCTTAAGTTGCAAAAATATATTCTCTGAGACAGTGCAAAAGATCCATTTTTAAGGCAATGAGAATTGTACACAGTTTCTGACAAGTTCTTTCACTTACCACTTTCACAAATCGAAACTAGGATTCTGCATAGATCTTATTAACCCTGAAATGTTGGAAGATTGGTATAGTAACAATTTTTAAAAGATTATAGCAGTTAGGAAGGAGATGTGTGCTGTTAACTGTACCATTTGCAAATAATTACCAACCGATTTAGTCATCTGCATAATTACTGTAAAAGCGAGCACACACAATCATTGGCTTTTCAAACCATGCATGCAGAGAGGTAAGGCAAATTTACTGTCCCTAAGGGATGTGTTAACGAAAGGCATGATAAATGTCAGTGAGGCATGTGAGGTCATGATTTTCTTAAACCTACTGGCAACAAGTTTAATAAGCTTTAACGTTTTAAGACAATTGATTCAGCCTAAAAAACAGTATTTACAAATGCACAAATAGTAAGTGTACAAATCTAAATTTTATACAAGAATAAAATTCTGTGTGCAGTGCAAGTTATCCCACAGGTTTTTAAAAGTGACCAATAGCAACAATTTATGTGCCTGAACAATTTCAGGCCCAAAGACACACAAGAATTTTAATTTTGTAAATTATGAAGCTGATTAATTTCATTTAAACTATCTGGCTCATTTATTCCAATTTTAAAGCTGTTGCAAATTAACATGATACTGGGAAGAGGATGAAAGGAAGTAACTGGATATTCAAGATACAATCCATTAAGGGAGCTAATACATAACATGAAGGGTAAAAATATATATTAATTTTAAAGTCAGGCAAGGCAGTTATCAGACTTTCAGGTAATTTTGAGATTAATGACTACATACGAATTTAGTAGTAGTCATTTATTTAATAGTTGGAGACCCCCTTTCAGAAAACTTTATTGCAACATGCAATCTAAGAATTTTAATAAATATAATATGGCTGAGTAGATACACAGCCACACATATATACACAATACACAAATAGTTGCTCTTATAATTGAGATTTCGTTTGTTTTGGGGTTAGGCAAGTTTACATTAATTTGCCATTCCCCAAACTCAATAGCTTCAGATATAGACAAAACGCCAAGAATGAATATGGTTTCTCATCGAACTGCTACAAATACTGAGAAATGCAAAACCAATTTTCAGCAGATAAAAACAGTTCAGAAATTGTAAATCTTCAACATCAGTAAACCCTAGGGCATTTTAGTGGCATTTTTACCTTCTGAGATGATTCAGTATGAATTACATTTCATTATCTATTGTCCCAAGAATAACTTGATTTCAGTTTTCACCAATTCGTAATTTGAAGCAAACCTTGAATGTCTCCACATTGAATCTATTCCCCCAGTTCTGTGTCCAAAATCTAGTGAATCTTATTTAAATGAGAGGTGCTCCAAAACACTTCCTGCACCACTCCACACTGATACTTGGTGGAGCATCAATTTTCTGCAACTTTTCAAGAATCTGTGTAGATAAACTATTGTATGCAAGTCCATACTCATTGTCAAAAGCCTCTGAAAGATATTTTCAAAAATACAGTTGGTATTTCTTACTAATAAATAATATAATAAAAGCTATGCATTTAAAAATGGGAGTCAATTTTTTTTTTTTTTTTTCGGTATGCGGGCCTCTCACTGTTGTGGCCTCTCCCGTTGTGGAGCACAGGCTCTGGACGCGCAGGCGCAGCGGCCATGGCTCATGGGCCCAGCCGCTCTGCGGCAAGTGGGATCTTCCCGGACCGGGGCACGAACCCGTGTCCCCTGCATCGGCAGGTGGACTCTCAACCATTGTGCCACCAGGGAAGCCCCAAATCATTTTTATATACATATTTAAACTGCATATTTAAAGGCAAAAATCTTTTTAAAGGCAAATGGAGTATCTGCCCATACCAATTAGAATTTTAAAAGTTTAAGAAATAAGACTTAAACCCCCTTTAAGGAATCCCCAGTTGACGAACTTACCAATATCAATATTCTCTCTTCCAAGAGATACTAATGATAAGAAGAGGATTTCTCTGTATAAACTCCTATAAAACAAATATTTTTAAAAATTAATGGTCAAAGAGCATAAAAATACCCTATGAAGGTTTTTTAAAATGGTGATAGAACACAACACTGTAAATCAACTATACCTGAAAAAAAAAGATTAGGTTCTGTAGTTAACAGTAATGTATCCATCCATGTCAGTGTTCTGGTTCTGACATTACACTACACTTATGTCACCTTTGGGAGAAGCTGGGTAAAGGGTCAACGGAACTCTTTGTACTATCTTTGCAATTTCCTGCAAATTTATGTTTCAAATTAAAAAGTTAAAAGTTAATGGGCATAAAGCTTCACATTCGAAATAACTAAAAATGGCTTATTTTAACTTTATTGTAATTATTTAGCAATATAATAGGTAACTTTTAATTCTACTTTCTAATTCAGATTTACAAAAGCAGACTTTTGCCACATGACAAAGTAAGAGATGAATTTCTAAGTAAGTCAGGGGTCTAAAACCCTTGGACACAAACAGTATGAAAGATGGTGTGGTCTCTACTACTTAACCCAACAGTAAAGGATAAACCACCTTTATTTGATTTGCGAACATAAAAATGTTACAAATGAAACCCTAAAAATGAGATTCGTGACTCATTTGTTAAAAAAAGGGGAAACTTATGAACTGATTTGAGTATTTACAGAAAAAAAAATTAGAGAGTAATGCTGATTCTGATGATGCTCCATGCAGCTTTCTTTAGAAGCTTCAGAAGCCACAGTATGTCGTTTCTAATATTCCTTCCCTGTCCTTCAACTACAGATACTTGAAAGTGGCTGCTCTTTAGGCTGTGAAGGAGATAATCTCTACCTCAACTGTTGAGATTATAGAAGGATCTATCCATTTTCATTATGAATTCTTGTCCTATCATTTCTGAGACTATCTTCAAAGATGCCATGACTAGAAACTTGAAGAGCACCTGGAAACACTGTTTATGTTTGATAGAAGGTATTATGTCTCTCTTTCTGAAGCTTCCACCACAAAATTCATTTATGCTGAGACTGGGATGAGTACTGATCCAAGCGTGTTAGCAGACAATAAATAGTAAGAGGATCAGGACAGCTCCATACCGTTTGTTATTCATTGCTTCCATCATCTTCCTAAATTGTTTCTAGTCCTAAACCCATATTTTTTTTTTTTTTTTTTTTACATCTCACAAGATAAGATGCGTGACAGGACCTGAACGAGCAGTACATATGTATAACATCAATGTTAACACATTTATAGGTTTCCAGTGAATAGTAGTAATGTTTTCACAAAGACTCAGTACGTTTTAGACATAAATGAATTACCTCCTAAAATTTAATCTATTTCCCAGATAATTTTATTATGTTTGTGATCAAGTATAAATGCATTTGGGTAGCACTTTTTAAGACAATCAGATGTTCTACAATGAGTATGTGTTTCTTTTACAACTAGAGATAGTTTTAAAAATCATTTTTAAAATACCATGAAATTATTTCGAATGGTATCAAGTACCAAATACTGGATTATTACCTTTGTCTTTTCATGTCTCCCTTCATTTGTTGTGAAAGCAGGTTGATGGGTTTAAGAACATCATTATGTTGAATACTCTGCCTGATGGTTTCTACTAAAGCGCTTGTTGTTTGTTGTTCCTCTGACAGGAGAGACAATTTCTTTTCAGAATCTAATAATAAGAACACAGTAAAAGAATACATTTAGTCACTCTAATTATTAAAGAAGTTTTTTTTCAGATTTGTATCATTTTTTATTCAACACCACCTCCCCATCACAAGTAAAATTATGTAGTAATGTGACCAGCTAAAAAATATTTTTCTTGCTTTCTTCAGATAGGAGAGGCCTGTCCCTTTGCCCTTTTCCTGAACTTAGGGCTTCCTGCTTGAGGCTGCAATGTGATAACTTGTATGCCAGCAGCCATCCTATGACCATGAATCTTTCCTGATGGAAAAGCAGACAAAGCATAAGGAGCCTGGGTCCCCGATGACAGAGGAGTTGCCTACCAGTCCTGGAGTATCTAATTCATAAATTCTTCATGTGAGAGAATAATCTTTACCTGTTTAAGATTCTGTTGTTTTCTATTAAATACAGTAGCGTATAATCCTAATTGATACAAGGGTAATTCTAGAATTATTAAGAACAAATATTTATACAGATTTCATATATTACAAAAGTGCTTCAGTGGTATACTTGAATCACAGTACCATTAAAAATCAACAACGTGAGCTTGGCCCAGAAAAAGGGAAAACTTTAATACTGTAGGAAATCCCAGCAGCCATACAATTTTATTACACCCACATTAGTTGAGATGGAACTATGTATCCAAAAGTTCCCCAGTCAGCCTCATTTTAAGTGTCTGTCATAAAGCAAGTTACTGTAATTTTCATACAATCCAGCCCCTTAATAAAGGCAACTAGGAATATTTCACTTGTGTTCAAACCATAGAAATAGCAAAGTTCTCTGTTACAATACAAGAGGAAATACTGGCTGCTATGGGTTTTGATCCTAGTTTTTCTACATGCTAAATAGATTTGATTTTCATGTTATGTTGTGATTTTAGAGCATAACTCAAATATAATATGCAACTTCACCATTGCTCCTTAATTCAGAGTTGGGCAACCATCACCAATTTTAGAACATTTTTATCTCCTCCAAAAGAAATCCACCTATTAGCAGTCACTCTATCTTCCCAACCCCTCAGCCCTAGGCAACCACTAATCTAATTTTGTCTTTACAGTTTTGCCTATTCTGATTGATATAAATGGAATCATACTTTCCGTTCTCTTTTGTGGCTGCTGCTTCTATAATATTTTAAAATTCATTCATTTTATAGTATGTATCAGTATTCACTACTTTTTATTGCCAAATAATATTCCATTGTACGGATATACCATACTTTATCCATTCATCAGTTAAAATGAACATTTAGGTTGTTTTTATTATTTGGATATTAAGAAAAATGCTGCTAAGCACAGTGTACAAGTTTTTATGTGGAATATGTCTTCATTTCTCTTGGGTGTATACCTAAGAGTGCAACTGCTGTGTCATATGGTAACTGTTCACCATTCTGAGGAACGGTGAAACTATTTACACCAAAGCAGCTGCACTATTTTTATTCCAATTAGCAGTGAACCAGGAAGAGATCCAACTTTATTTTTTCTGCATGTTGTTCCAGTTGTCCAGCACTACTTGTTGAAGACTATTCTTTACCCACTGAATGGTCCTTGGCACTCTTGTTGAAAGGCATTTAACTGTACATGTGAGGGTTTATTTCTGGAAACTCAACTTTATTCCATTGACCTATATGTCTATCCTATGCCAGTTTTCTACTTTCTTGATTACTGTAGCTTTGTAGTAAGTTTTCAAATTCAGAAGTATGAGTCCTACAACTTTGTTCTTCTTTTCCAAGACTGTTTTGGCTATTCTAGTTGCCTTGAAAATCCATATGAATTTTAGGATAAGCTTGTCAATTTCTATAAAAAAGCCACCTGGAATTTTGATATAGATTGTACTGAATCTATAGATCGATTTGGGAGTACTGCCATCTTAACAATATTAACTTTACTGGCCCATGAACATGGGATTTCTTTCCATTTACTTAGGTGGTCTTTACTTTCTTTCAACAATTTTAGTTTTCAGAGTATAATAAGTTTTGTACTTATTTTATCAAATTTATTCCTAAGAATTTTATTCTTTTTAATGCTATTATAAATGGAATTATTTTAATTTTTGGATTATTCATTGAAAGTATATAGAAATACAGTTCATTTCTATGTATTGATCTTATATCCTGCAACTCTGCTGAGCTTATTTAATAAGTTCCATATGTTTTGTGTGTGTGTGTGTGTGTGTGTGTATTCCTTAGGATTTTCTAATTTAGGATTTTCTATATGTAAGATGACATAATCTGCAAGTAGAGATAGTTTTACTTTTTCCTTTCCATCTTGGATGCCTTTTATTTTCCTGTCTAATTGTTCTAGCAAGAACCTCCAGTACAATGTTGAAAAGAAATAATGAAAACAGACATCTTTGTCTTGTTCCTGTACTTGGGGGAAAGTATTCAGTCTTTTACCATTAAATGATATCAACTGTGGGTTTTCAGAGGCTCATAATTAGGTTGAGGAGGTTCCTTTCTATTCCTAGCTTGGCTTTTTTTTTTTTTTTTTTGGTTGCTTTGGGTCTTAGTTGCAGCACTCAGGATCTTCCCTGCGGCATGCGGGATCTTTCGTTGTAGAGCGCGGGCTCCACTGCTGCAGTGCATGGACTCTCTAGTGGCACGTGGGCTGTAGAGCGCACCAGCTCAGTAGTTGTGGCGCGCAGACCTAGTTGCTCCGCAGCATGTGGGATCTTAGTTCCCCAACCAAGGATCGAACCCGTGTCCCCTGCATTGGAAGGCGGATTCTTAACCACTGGACCACCAGGGAAGTCCCTTGTTGAGTGTTTTTAACAAAGGGCAATAGATTTTGTCCAGTGCTTTTAGCTGTGCTTATTCAGACGATCATATGGATTTTGTCCTTTATTTTATTGATATATATATTAATTGATTTTCAAACCAACATGGCATGCCTGGCGTAAACAGCACTCGGTCATGGTGTACAATCGCTTTTCTAAATTGCTGGATTTGGTTGGCTAGTATTTGTTGAGGATCCTTATGTCTATATTCATAAGTGATACAGATTTTTAGTTTTGTTTTCTTATGATGTCTTTGGTTTTTGTATCAGGGTAATGCTGGCCTTCTCACCCAAATCTCCACTCTTTCCAAGAGTGCTTTCAGGCTTGAACTTCTCCACAGTCTGTCCCAAATAAAGTCATTTCCTTTGGGGAGAATTTCAGAGCTCTCTCTTCTTATGGCCTGTCTCTCAGCCACTGCTCTGGAGCTGGGGCTGGGAACAGTGGCCCTTCTCTTGGAATGATTCCCCTGCTTTGTGAATGGGGTACTGGAGGGATGCAGTTGCCTCTCATGTTTTAGCTTGCCTCTCCTGGCATAAAACCTCTCCCTTATGAGCAAGACGCTGTGAGAACAATCAGAGACCCAGTATTCGAGGGTTGCTGAAGCTGGCAGTGCATGGGGGCTGAGTGGAGGAAGTGAGCCTCCCTGTCTCCTGGAACTGAATAGGGCTGGGAAGATGAGAACTGCTGGCAACCTGTCTTTCCCAGGGAGATGCTGTAGCCCTTAACTGGGGGCTGGTGGGGAGCAGCAAGTTGTAGCTCAAATGCCACAGAAACTCACCGTTTTTACTGAAATTTAATATATTTTCTTTTTTAAAAAATTACTTATTTATTTTTGGCTGAGTCGGGTCTTCGTTGCTGCATGTGGGCTTTCTCTAGTTGCAGCGAGCGGGGGCTACTCTTTCTTGTGGTGCACGGGCTTCTCATTGCGGTGGCTTCTCTTGTTGTAGAGCATGGGCTCTAGGCGTGTGGGCTTCAGTATTTGTGGCACGCGGGCTCTAGAGTGTAGGCTCCGTAGTTGTGGCGAATGGGCTTAGTTGCTCTGCAGCATGTGGGATCTTCCCGGACCAGGGATCGAACCCATGTCCCCTGCATTGGCAGGCGGATTCTCAACCACTGTGCCACCAGGGAAGACCAATATATTTTCTTGAATAAATATTTCTTCATTTGCTCGACAGCTGTAGACATTTTTTTAAATAACTTTCACCAATTATGGTTGTTTCGCTGGGAAATGGGACTTCATAGCTCCCTATACTGCTTTTCCAAAAGTCACCACTCAATTCTATTGTATCTTTTAATGTTATTTATATACCAATTCTTTGTTTAAAGTAGCCAATCAAGTAAAGAAACAAGGCTATTCTTGAGAGTTCTAAATTTTATTCTCACCACAAATTATAGGACATTTAAAAACACTTATCTATTTCAAGATATGCAGGAAAACAACTAAAGAAATGGCAGTTATAATTCTATTATTTTCCAGCATAAATTTCAAAGCTACTCTGCTTCTGCTTAAAAAGCATTCAAATATCAGAACTGGGAAAACAACAACAAAAAGACAAAAATAGCTTATAATATATTTAGCCATAATTTTGTGATTGGCATATTTCAAGGGAAAATGTCAGATTCTTTTATTCTAGCTTAAGTAAAAAAACTGCTAAGTAGTGAAAGATTGTAGTAAAAATACAAAATAAAGAGTGGGGGCTTCCCTGGTGGCGCAGTGGTTACGAATCCGCCTGCCAATGCAGGGGACACGGGTTTGAGCCCTGGTCCAGGAAGATCCTATATGCTGCGGAGCAACTAAGCCCGTGCGCCACAACTACTGAGCCTGCGCTCCAGAGCCCATGAGCCACAACTACTGAGCCTGCATGCTGCAACTACTGAAGCCCACACGCGTAGAGCCCATGCTCTGCAACAAGAGAAGCCACTGCAATGAGAAGCCCGTGCACCACAACGAAGAGTAGCCAATGCAGCCAAAAAAAAAAAAAAAACCAGAGTGAACTTTTCCCTTCTTCTTCTGAGAAGGTACTGTTAACAGCTTGGGACATACACGGTTTTAGACCTTTTTCTATTCATACATTAAAAACACAAATATTTTTGGTTTCATTTTTCTACAAAAAAGAGAAAAAATCACATACTGTTCTGCAACTTGCCTTTTTTTTCACTTAATATATAACGAAAATCCATCCTTTCGGGAACCTATATACAAATGACTCATTCTTTTTCTTGGTTGCCAACATCTCATAGTGTGGATTTATCACAATTCTCTTGTTAGGTATTTGCGTAAGTTTTTCATTATTATAAATAATCTTACAGTATGCATCACTGTACCAACAGCTTTGTACACTGTATACCTCTAGAACAGAGCATTTTAATGTTTCTTACATGAACTGCCTATTGATACCATTTACTCACTTACCTACTGGGTTGTCTGTGGTTTCTTACAGACTCATAAGGCTTCTGAATACTGGATAACCCTTTAAACCCCTTATAAAAATACGTTCTAAATACAAAAACTAAAAGTAAGGCCAGGGGATTCCCTGGTGGCACAGTGGTTGGGAGTCTGCCTGCCAACACAGGGGACACAGGGTCGAGCCCTGGTTTGGGAGGATCCCACAGGCCGCGGAGTGACTGGGCCCACGCACCACAACTACTGAGCCTGCGCTCTGGAGCCTGCGAGCCACAGCTGCTAAGGCCTGCGTGCCTGGAGCCCGTGCTCCGCAACGGGGGAGGCCGTCATAGAGGCCCGTGTGCCACGGTGAGGAGTTGCCGCCGCTTGCCGTAACTAGGGAGAAGCCCGTGTGCAGCGGTGAAGACTCAGTGCAGCCAAAAATAAATAAATTAAATAAAATTTATAAAAAAAAATAAAGCCAGAATCTTTGAGATTAGTACCCATATAATTGAAATTATGATCTATACCAACACATCCACTATAGAGAATTTACTCTCCAAGTACCTAACCAAATTAGTATTTGACAGATGAACTACAAGAATCACAAAAAAACCCCTGATAAATGGGTCAGTACAACAGCAAAAAAATTTGAACTAAAATGGAAAAAATCTTGAGGAGATACTAAAAATGAATGAAAGATTTAAAAATAAAGCAAAATTATTTCTGTCATCTCCTTAATTCTATTTTTTCCCCCCAGTAGTCCATTTTTCTTTATTGCTACAGTATTCTACTGTGTGGATGGACTGTACCATAATTTGCTTATGCATTCACCTGTGGATGGATATTTGGGTTGTTTCCAGTTTGAGTGTTTTATGTCTTTAATTCTATTTTACTTACTAAAATTCCTCCATGAGACATACAGAGGTTCTCCTGGTTCCTGATGAAGGTTGATATTATCCCATAACAGCTGAATATACACGAGTTTGCTATCCTGGGACAGAGATGACAGGGGAAGCTAAAAAAGATCAGTAGAAAGTATTAGTACCCCAAGCATAATAATAATTACCAGTGGCCCTAGCAAAGCTTGATTGTATAAAACAGATGAGTTCTTTCAAAATTCTGGACCTAAAATTCCAAGAAGATTTTAAACATTTTATTTATATCTGATTACAAATGTTCTTATTATTTTCTGAGGTGCATGTTTCTCATTCTGACTTTCAAGGACTGAATGACAACTTGGTAACTGGCACAGCAGCCACAAGGAAGATTAACCTCCATCAAAACAAATTTTAAGGTAAGAGAAAGTGCAATGGTTTCTACTATCTTGTTGTACTGACTACTACTTAAAATAAATGAGTCAAAATAGAATTTATACTACTCTAAAAGTTTGTTGTGCCCCTGATGTATGTTTGGGGTTGGGGGTATCTCTCAATATTCAGTATCATAAAATGAAGGAGTTCTAGGAGCTCACTGTCTCCCGGGGAGTCAGGGATGCCAGCTCAAGCAAAGCAGGAGTTTCAGAGTCAGAGAGCCAGACTGTGGTCTTGGCCCCCCTCCACTTACGAGGTATGTGACCTAGCAAAAATAACTTCCATAATTTTTAGTTGTATCATCTGAAAAATGTGGCTAATATGAGTCCTTTAAAATAAAGTTGTGAGAATTTCTGCTGGGAATATTATATTTCAGAATAAAAACTACCTTTTCTAGCTACCCTTGCAACTAGAAATGACCATGTAACTAAGTTTAGGACAAACAGATACATATGAAAAGATTATGTGCAACTCTAGAAACTGTCCCTAGAGAAAGAAGACATACTCTTCTCCATCCATTTTTCTTCTAACTGCTGGCTGGAATGTGGATGTGACAGCTTGTAAGTAGAGTCAGCTATCCTAGACCAGGTATAAAACTTGGAAATGGAGGTCACACTGCTGAGCAAAAAGATAGAAGGCTCTCAAGTCTCTAACACTATACCATCCCTGGACCACCTATCTAAAATTTTAAGTGAGAGAGAAATAACCTATGACTTAAGCCACTATTGTTGTATACTTCCTGCCACCTGAAGTTAAGCCTCATCCTAACCAACACCAATGTAGTATAAGTATTGAAGTTGGTTCCCTACCTGTACACCTCCGTTACAATGTTCAGATGTGAGGATAAGTCCTGGTAAGTTACTAGGAAGGTCCAAACGTCTGAAATACCAAACGAGGTTCCAGAAAATGATTGGATGTTGATTGATGAAAGAGGACGTGTGAATCACCTGATCGCCTTCATTTTCTAGCAAAGATTCAAGTTCTTTACGAAGCACTAGAGGACTCAAGTAGGGCACAGAAACAGGGGGAGGATTGGGTCTTTTTCCTAAAGGATCCTTAAAAACACAGAAATACAAAAAGAAGTGAATATGATCTATTTTATTATGTTTCAGAGTATGTCTCAATGAGATTATACTTCTCTGTCCTTTCAAAGTCAATTATTTCAGGGCCATTACTACATGTAGTAGAACACCCTAAAGAAAACATAAAAGAAGAACACCCTAAAGAAAACATAAAGATTAAGAAGTACTTAATCATAAATACCGTTAAGTTAAATGATTACAAACAAAAATTATTCATCAATATAATAGACCCTATTTTAAACATGAGATTTTCTCTATCACATTAACAGCAACGGCCTAGGTAGGTTTGACTTTTTCCTTTTCAATTTTTTATAAGAAATACTTGCATTTCTGATGTTTTATAATGATGATACCAAAAAATATGTGACTATCTTCCGCTTAAAACTCTAAACAGATGATGCAATTTTTTGTGTTAATACTTTTTTAAAATAATGAATGAATGAATTAATTAATTAATTTTGGCTGTGTTGGGTCTTCGTTGCTGCACATGAGCTTTCTCTAGTTCCGGCACGTGGGGGCTACTCTTCATTGTGGTGTGTGGGCTTCTCATTGCGGTGGCTTCTCTTGTTGTGGAGCACGGGCTCCAGGCACGCAGGCTTCAGTAGTTGTGGCACGCGGGCTCTAGAGCGCAGGCTCAGTAGTTGCGGCGCACGGGCTTAGTTGCTCCGTGACATGTGGGATCTTCTGGGACCAGGGATTGAACCCATGTCCCCTGCACTGGCAGGCAGATTCTTAATCACTGCGCCACCAGGGAAGTCCCTGTGTTAATCTTGACTCTTTTTAAAACTATATCTAACTTGTTTTTACATTTGATTGCAACAAAAACTAAAGAGCAACTTTATAAATCAAATGAAATAATGAATTAAAAAACCCCAACCTAAAAAAAAACCCCAACCTAGACTTTGTAAGTTGTGCATATTATAGTCAGAATAAAATGTTTATGACCAGTATTAATAAGTACCCATAGTGCCTAGATTGAGGTCTCCAAATACTGTTTTCCTGTAAAAAGAACCAGGTTTCTTAAAGAAATGGCTGATTCTAGGTCTGGAGAAGGAAATATATAACATGAGCATGAAACATCGTGCAATATAAGAAAGCAAGGAAGCTTTAAAAAAAATTATAGAAAGGCTACCAGAGTTGTGTCAAAAGGATTAAGGCACCAACTTGTAGAGGCTTCTAGCTGACCAAAGAAGGAATAATATAAGCATCAATAAGGATAACAACAGCAATGGATATGAACATAAATGTTTAAACCAATGAGCTCATAATAATACCCTATTGCCCCAGATAATGGATCACCTTGGAGAATGCTAGGAACCCAACTTGTTACTTTGAAAATTGATAAATAAAAGGAAAAAAAAATTAAATATTTATTTTGCCTTTCCATCATAAATTGCATCTTTGGAAAACCAGACAAAAGCCATGGGGTTAGTTTCTCTTTACAGATATATTTCATATAATAAAGAAGATGACAGAATTAGACTATCATCATTTTATAGCTCCAAATGGACAACTTGATCTAGGCATTGAGGCGTTAATAGCTGCTAACATCACAATGATAGTTCGTGTCTCCTATTGGAGGGACATACCACTACTGATGAAGCACTCTTATAAAAATAAACAAATGAAAAAAAGAACAAAAAAACCCTGAATCTGATCAAGCTTCTAGCTGTAATTACCAATTTACAGGGTTGTAATCAACAAATAAATTGCAAGGGAATAAATTACAAGGGAAAAAAAGAGTCTACAGATTTAAAAAGACTAATAAAACCAGATTAACCAATTATGAAGCATGGACCTTATTTGATCCTGATTCCTCAAACTACAAAACACACAACTTGACATTTTTGAGACCACTAGAAATTTGAACAAACCTGCTGTATAGCACAGGGAACTCTACTTCACTTTGCTGTACAGTAGAAACTAACACAACACTGTAAAGCAACTATACTTCAATTAAAAAAAAAAATTTGAACAAAGATTGAATAACTTGATATTATTTGTTATTTTTTGGGTCTGATAAGGACATTGTATTTCTAAGAGTCCTTATCTTTTAGAGATAAATACTGAAATATTTACAAATGGAATATATTATGTTTGAAATCTGCTTCAAACGGATCTACGGAAGAACTGAATAAGGATATACATGAAAGAAAAATGGTCATAAGCTGAAAATTACTGAAGCTGGATGATGTGTCAAAGGGACTCATTACACGTTTATTTGTGTACATATTTGAAATTCTAAAGTTCTTAGTCTGCTTATGAAAAATTCTTATCACTTTTCATGTGATTAAAATAAACCTACTACAGAAGAATTACATGCTGTTTTAATAAATACTTACACGAACACACAGTATAATTATAATGCTGTTACATACCACAATTTCCTGCAGACTGTTTGGAAGACTAACTGTTGAAATGCCATGAAACGGTCTCTGGGAAAAGTCCATATTTTGCAAGGGACCTCCAACACTGTGACTTCTAGTCAAAGATACATTTCGTTTTGATAAACTATTAGGCACAGATGAAATTTTCATAGTTTGGACATCTCCACTGGCTTTCATTATTTCATCACTTAAAAAAATGAAGAAGAAATGCTGTGGTTAGATTGTGTGAAACAATCTAAATCTGTAGAGCTTGACTATTTTCTACAATGAATTTTGAACGTGCTGAATATATCTGAGAAGACTCAGTACTGCCTTATAAGAATTACATTTTCTTCAGGTATTTTTGAAAAACTGGTCAGAAAAACAGGATGGAGTGGATGATCTGATGAAGGGTAGGAAGAGGATATATGGTATATAACAGGTATTATGGTATTATTTTAAAAAGATCAAGTGCCCATTCAGTTGCCTTGTTCAAAAATTATTTCATCTTTATTAAACAAAATCACTTATACATCACCTTACATGTATAATGCATGTAAGTAAGTAAGTAATGTAGATTCATTGCCAAGTATTTAATCTCTACCAGGCCATGATCCACCTAAGGACAGAGGTCAGATTTTATTTACTTTTTAATTTTTAGTGTTTAGCATAATGCTTAGCATACAATAGGCTCTCAAAAAATGTTTGACTCAATATTTAAGAGTAAAAGGTATATTTCACTGTAAAGAGAGTATGTGTCTGGAAACTGACAATGACTACACTGAAGGGGAAAATACTTTTTACTGTTGAAAAATTCATTTTTGTAAAAGACCACTGTAAAACATTAAACACAGTATTAAAAATGATTTATCATCAGATCCATTCATTAGATATTTAAACAATATATGGTAGTAAACATTTAAGGTTAAATTCTTAAAATGCCAGAGCTTATGCCTATGTAAGCCAGGTTGTATTTAAAGATGGAATTTTTACTAGGGTACCCAATTTTTAATGAAGATTTCTCTGAACCCCATGGTACCTTGATTCAACTGCAGAGCTTGTTTCTTCAGTTATGGTCTGGTTATGTTTTGGGAAATCCATAAAATTGATCAGGTCAGGTTCTGCTGAACTGGATATGGGTTTGTGCTCCAAAGGTTCACTTGCCAGTGTAATGCTTCCACTTTGTAAACTGTCACCAGAGGTACTTGGTTTCAGGAAAAAGCTAAATGTGGATCAGTCCAAAAAAAACAAAAAAGTCTTTAAAAATCCCAGAATCCTCTAAATTTCATCATATTTAGAATCACTTTATGGTAAAATAGTTATTAATGAGTTATACAAATCCATAGAAATACTGCCTATTTCAAACACACACACACACACACACACACACACACAAAACTCACACTCCTGCTCTCATTCTCTCTTCCTCTCTTGTCCCAAACTTTTCAAATGAAAAGGTCTAGAGCAGGTCATTATAGTTCAATATTAGATGCCTTCAGTTTTTGAGAGACTCTAAAGAAAGCTATGAAGGAAGATGGAAAGCAAAATATTTCCTTAATTTTCTTAGTTAAAAAAAAGGAACAGCATTTTAACATGTATTAACATATGACTGTTTATAATACCCTTTCCCCCTTATGAATCTCCATTTTTGTCTCTAGTCATTTCCTCTCCACTCTTTTCATTCAGAATTTTATTTTCATCTTTCTCTCTCTTTCTCCTTCTGGGTGGGGATGGGGTGAGAGTTTCACCTTACAAGGGACATTAAGAGAGCTTTCTAAAGTGATAGTAATGTTCTGTATCTTGGTAAGGGTTTGTTTTGCACAAATCAAATTTACCTTAAATGAAAAAAACTGTGAATAAATACTGAACTCTAGTTAATTATATGAACGCTCAAGTCTTTGTGGGAAAAGTGATTTAAAGTCTTCATCTTCTTCTTCTTCTTTTTTTTTTTTGGCCACACCGCAGGGCATGTGGGATTTTAGTTTCCCGACCAGGGATTGAACCCATACCCCCTGCAGTGGAAGCGTGGAGCTCTAATCACTGGACAGCCGGGAATTCCCCATCTACATCTTATTTTAAATGAATAAAAATGTAAGATGGATTGGTGGATGGATGGAGGGATACATAAAGCAAGTAAAGTAAAACATTAATTGTAGAATGTAGGGGTATATATTTGGGTATTACTGTAAAAAAGAAGATCTTTAAACTTGGCTGTCAGTTGGAAATCTTCCATAATGACATCCTAGGGGGGAAAATCAATAATGCTCCTTTATATTCAATTAGAATATAAAATAAGGTACTTACCACAAAAGCTTAAGAAACACAATTAACAAAAAAAGTACAAAACTTATGGAGAGGGCTTCCCTGGTGGCACAGTGGTTAAGAATCCGCCTGCCAATGCAGGGGACATGGATTTGAGCCCTGGTCTGGGAAGATCCCACATGCCGTGGAGCAACTAAGCCCATGCGCCACAACTACTGAGCCTGCACTCTAGAGCCCGTGTGCCACAACTACTGAAGCCTGTGTGCCTAGAGCCCCTGCTCCACAACAAGAGAAGCCACCGCAATGAGAAGCCCGCACACCGCAACGAAGAGTAGCCCCCGCTCGCCACAACTAGAGAAAGCCCGCGTGCAGCAACGACGACCCAATGCAGCCAAAAATAAATAAAACGAATAAATTTTTTAAAAACTTTACAAAAAATACATATGGAGAATAATTTAAAACTCTATTAAAAGAATATCTAAAAAAATGGAGATATATACCATGCTCATAGATAGCAGAATAATACTGAAGATGTCCATTTCCCCCAAATAAATCTATAAATCTAATTCAATCCCATGAAAACTTCAGCTGGATTTTTTTTCTTAAGGAACTCAAAGTTACTCTAAAATTTTATATGCAAAAATAAGTAACTATAAGAAAAAAATTTCCATGGGAGAACTTACCCTACCACCCAGACATCATAAATACAGAGTAATAAAAATAATACAGTACTGACAGAAAGAACAGAGAACCAGAATGAGGTATACATAGGAACTTGATATATGATAAAGGTGACGCTGTATATCAATGAAGGAAGGATGTAAAACTGGCTCATTATATGGAGAAAAATAAAGCTGGATCTCTACAATAATACACAAAGGTGGACTTTAGATGGATTTAAAACCTAAATATCACAAGTAAAATATAAAGCTAACAGAAGAACGTTCAGGAAAAAAATTTCATGTACTACAGATGGGAAATAACTTTTAAAACAAGACTCCCAATGCACAAATCATAAGGTGGAAAATTAATGGATAACATCAGAATTAATTTCTCTTCGGAGAATTAATATAAAGAATATTCAAGACGGGAATTCCCTGCTGGCCCAGTGGTTAGGACTCTTGCACTCTCACTGCCGAGTGCCCAATCCCTGTTTGGGGAACTAAGATCCCACAAGCTGTGATGCATGGCCAAAAAGAAAATAAAATAAGAAAGACAAGAATGAACAAAGCCCCAAGTCAATAGAAGGAAAGAAATAATAAAGATCAGAGTGGGAATAAATGAAATAGAGACTAAAAAGGCAAAAGAAAAGATCAGTGAAAGTAAGAGCTGGTTCTTTGAAAAGATAAACAAAATTGACAAATCTTTAGCTAGACTCACTAAAAAAAAGAGAGAAGGCTCTGATAAATAAAATCAGCAACAAAAGAAAAAAAACAATGGGTGCCACAGGAATACAAAGGATTATAAGAATATGAAAACAGCTATATGCCAACAAATTGGACAACCTAGAAGAAATGGACAAATTCTTGGAATCATACAACTTTCCAAGACTGAATCATGAAGAGAGAATCCAAATTGATCGATCACTAGTACAGAGACTGAAGCAGTAATCGAAAAGCTTCTAAAAAACAAGACCAGGACCAGACAGCTTCATAGGTAAATTCTACCAAATATTTACAGATTTAATACCTGTCCTTTTCAAACTATACCAAAAAATACAAGACAAGGGAACACTTCCTAACTCATTTTATGGGACCAACATCACCCAGATACCAAAACCAGATAAAGACCACACGAAGTAAGAAACTATAGGCCAATATCTCCAATGTACATAGATGAAAAAATCCTCAACAAAATACTAACAAACCAAATCCAACAATACATTAAAAGGATCATATACCGTGATGAAGTGGGATTTGTCCCTGGGATGCAAGGATGGTTCAACATCTGCAAATCAAGCAATGTGATACATACGTTAAATGAAGGATAAAAATGATATGATCATCTCAGTAGGTGCAGAAAAAGCAGACGACAAGATTCAACACCCATTTATGATAAAAACTCCCCACAAAGTGGGTACAGAAGGAACATACCTCAACATAATAAAGGTCATATATGACAAGCCCACAGCTAACATCATACTCAAAGGTGAAGCTGAAACAGTGTATACAAGTCCCAGCCACAGAAATTAGCCAAGAGAAATAAAAGGCAACCAAATTGGAGAGGAAGAAGTAAAACTCACTGTTTGCTGATGACATGATTTTATATAGAGAAAAGCCTAAAGAATCTACCAAAAAACTATTAGGAGTAATAAATGAATATAGTGAAGTTGCACAGTACAAACCCAACAAAAACCTGTTGCATTTCTATATACTAACAATGAGCTAGGAGAAAGGGGAATTAAGAAAACAATCCCATTTACAATCACCACAAAAAGAATAAAATAAATGGAATAAATTTAAGCAAGGAGTTGAAAGACCTCTATACTGAAAACTATAAGACATTGTTGAAAGACACTGTAGATGCAAATAAATGGAAAGATATTCTGTGCTCATGGATTGGAGGAATTAACGTTGTTAAAATGTTTATATTTTTTAATTACCTAATTTTTAAAATATTACATAAAGCAATCTACAGATTCAGGGCAATACCTATCAAAATCCCAAGAACATTTTTCACATAAATGGAACAAAAAATTATTATATTTATTTGGAACCACAAAAGACCTTGAAGAGCCAAAGCAATCTTGAGAAAAAAGAACAACGCTAGAGATATTACACTCTCTGACTTCAAACTGTATTACAAAGCCATAGTAATGAAAACAACCTGGTTTGGCAGAAAAACAGATATAAAAATCAATGTAACAGGGACTTCCCTGGTGGCACAGTGGTTAAGAATCTGCCTGCCAATGCACGGGACAAGGGTTTGAGCTCTGGTCTGGGAAGATCCCACATGCCACAGAGCAACTAAGCCTGTGCGCCACAACTACTGAGCCTGTGCTCTAGAGCCTGCAAGCCACAACTGCCATAACTATGGAACCCCAGTGCTGCAACTACTGAAGCCCGCGCGGTTAGAACCTGTGCTCCACAAAGAAGCCACTGCAATAAGAAGCCCTTGCACTGCATCAAAGAGTAGCCCCCGCTCACAGCAATTAGAGAAAGCCTGCTTGCAGCAATGAAGACCAAACACAGCCAAAAAAAAAAATCAATGGAACAGAACTGATAGCCCAGAAATGAACCCCGGCATACATGGACAATTAATTTACAACAAAGGAGCAAAGAACATTCAATGGAGAAAGAATAGTGTCTTTAATAAATGGTGTTGGGAAAACTGGACAGCCACATGCAAAAATATGAAACTAGACCACTATCTCACACCACACACAAAAATCAACTCAAAATGGATTAAAGACTTCAAGACCACAAAAATCCTAAAAGAAAACATAAACAGTATAATCTTTAACATGAGTCTTAGCAATGTCTTTTTAAATATGTCTCCTCAGGCAAAGGCAACAAAGCAAAAATAAACAAATGGGACTGCATCAAACTAAAAAGCTTCTGCACAGCAAAGGAAACTTTCCATCAGCAAAACAAACCAACAACCTACTGAATGGGAGAAAATATTTGCAAATGATATATCTGATAAGGAGGTAATACTCAAATTATATAAAGAACCCATACAATTCAATATCAAAAAAACAACCCAATTAAAAAATGGGCAGAGGAGCTGAACAGACATTTTTCCAAAGAAGACATCCAGATGGCTAACAGGCACATGAAAGATGCTGAACAAAAAACCACATTAACATCATCATCAAGAAATGCAAATCAAAACCAAAGTATGATATCACTTCATTTCTGTTAGAATGGGTGTTATCAAAAAGTCAAGAAATAACAAGTGTTGGTGAGGATGTGGAGAAAGGGGACCCTCATACACCACTGGTGGGAAATGTAAACTGGTGCAGCCGCTATGGAAAACACTATGGAGATTCCTTGAAAAAATTAGGAATGAAACTACCACATGGTCCAGCCCAGTTCTGGGTATTTATCCTAAGAGTATGAAAACATTAATTCAAAAAGGTACATGCATGCCTATGTTCATTGCAGCATTATTTACAACAGCCAAGACATGTGGAAACAACCTAGATGCCCATCAACAGATGAATGGATAAAAAAGCTGTGGTATATATACACAATGGAATACTACTTAGCCATAAAAAAGATGAAAATTTGCCATTTGCAACAACATGGATGGACCTTGAGGGTATCACGCTAAGTGAAATACTTCAGATGAAGAAAGACAAATACCATGATTTCATTCATAGCTGGAATATAAAAAACAAAAACCCAAAATAAATGAACCCAACCAAAGAAAAACAAACATGAGAACAGAGTAGTACTTATCAGAGGGTGAAGGAGGGGTAGGGAGGACGGAATGGGTAAAGAGCATCAACTATATGGTGACAGATGGAAACTAAATTATTGGTGTTGAGCACGCTGTAGTGTATATAGAAGTAGAAATAAAATGTACACATGAAACTTATAAAACATTATAAACCAATGTTACCTCATTAAAAAAATAAATCTTTAAAAAATTGACAATGGATATAAACAAGCAATTCATAGAAAATGCTGGAATAACTAATAAGCATATGAAGAGATATCCAAACTCACTAATATTCGAAGACATTCAAACAAAAATGAGATACTACTTTATATCATTAGAGCACAAAATCAGAAAAGTGATCATACCAAATGCTGGTAAGGATGTACAGAAATGAGAGTTTTGGGGCACTACAAGTAGGAGTGTAGCCATCTGGGAAGCAATCTTCCGGTGTTTATTGAAATCATGTATGGAAAAAACCCAATGATCTCACTCCTAAGACTATTATTCTGAAAGAAATTACTTCGTAAGTCCAGAAGGGGACATATATTTTGCAGTGTACTGCAACAGTACAGTGATGTTTACAGTAACAGAGAACTGGAAGCAACTGAAATATCCAACACTATGACAGTGGATAAGTAAAATGAGGTATTAACTTCCTATAGGAGAAAAGGAATAAATTAGATATACATATAGCAACTCAGATTTTAAACTGAGTAATAAAAAGAAATAGAGATTTTCAGCATCATTCTAATCATGTACGTTAAAAATACATAATCATGCAAAACAACATTATTTATAAGGTTATATATTCAAGGATTTATCACACACAGCGGAGTCAATGTTTTTGTTGGGTAAAATAATAAGAGTGGGAATGGTGAGGGGAGGAAGATAATAAAAGAAGGCCCTTGCACAAACCAATGATGACAGTGCATCCGGAATTAGAGTATGCTTTCACTCAGCTCCACACTGAAGCTAACAGGAAACATAGAGAGGAGACACCTCTGTGTTTGGAAATTTTTAAAAAGCGGATAAAGGTAGTTTGTTCCATAAAGCAAACAGAATATTAAGTATAAGTACTTGAAGTCAGCGTACAGTTACCAAACTCTCAATTACTTAATGACCGATCATAGATCAGCCTCTCCTTTCCAATGCGTAGAATTCGGTCATTTCACAGTACAGAGCACCAACATAAAGGGGCAACAAGTTAAGAGAAGAGTTAAAGCCCCTTCCACCTTTTTTTGGGGGGTGGGGCGGGGGCGGCTCCAGAACACATAATCAAGGTCATCGAGGCAGAAATATTAAAATAATGACTAACGTTAGAGTTTGGAATTATCTATAATAATTATATAATCTATGTAATAATTATATAATTTATGAAGTTTAGCTCCGAGAATTAACTACTACTGATAATCATTTGTTAAATAAAATGGAAAAGCAGTCTCCTACATTATTAGTATTTTCTACTCAAATACTGAAAGTGCAGGAGGGCGAGGAAAGGAACACCTGGAGCATACCATGACTATTTCACTTTTCCCCCAGGAGTCATGCCTCTTGGGGGACGCTTACCTCTTTAAGGGAGCTTTTACAATACTAACCTTGCAGAGCCTCTCAAGTCTTTAAATTCTATGTTGAGAAGAGGCAAGAAGTTGCTTTTACAGAAGGGACAGGTTGTATTCAAGTTTGAATCATCTGCCGTCCATCCAGCCATAATTTCTTCATCATAAACTAAAGCTCCACAAGCTCTGCACTGTGAACAACTTGACATCAAAACCTAAGAGCAGAAAAGTACACATACTGAGAACCTCCACAGTGAAAATCAGTCTTAATAGGCCATCCTCTTGAGGCAAACACAGAATTGTATTTATTTTGTTGATCACACTTGGAATAACAGTTCAATTTAGAGGTAAAACTACCAGTTTATTGCCTTGTTTACATAAGACATCAAGCAAATTCAACAAAACGACTTATTTTATTATTTTGTCCAAAAAGGTACAGAATTCTGTTAAATGCCATTCTGAAATAAAAATATGTTTACAGCCACTTTATCATGGACAGAATATAGAACTTTTACCTCCATTGCACAATTCTGATAGATGCTGGACATGCTGGTGTTTTGAGAAGAACCATGATCCGACTTTTCAAAGTCCTGCCCTTTTATGCCTCTTGGAAATGGAAGTTCACCTAGAGAGAAGTAAACATCATAACACATTATGTATGAAAATGTCCTTATTCTTTGGAAATGCATACTTAGGGGGAAATATCATGAAGTCTGCAATTTATCTTCAAACGGTTTAGTATCAAAATGTACTTATGTATATACACAGAGGAAAGGTTAACAACAGTTAACTAAATCTAGGTAGAGAACATATGATTGTTCACTATATGATTCTTTCAACTTTTTAGGATATTTGAAATTTTTCATAATAGAAAGTTGGAGAAAATGAATAAAATTACAATTTTAAAAAATAACACAGAACTAGGAAATTTCAGTGATATAGCACAGAAATTCTCCAACTCTAGTAAATATCTGATTCACCTGGAGAGCTGTCAAAAATATACATTCTTAAGGTCCCATCCCACAGATTAAGTCTCAAAAGTTTTAACCTAGGGCTTGGATACTTGTATATACTTTTAAACAAATTCCCCAAGTGATTCTGAGACACCCTAAAGTTTGAGAACTAATGATAGAATCCATAAATGTACATAACTAAAAATAAACTCAGTGGGTGACTACAGTACTTGTAGATCATATAAAATAACAGTGATAATATGGTGTGACTATATCAGATCCTCTCAACAAGTGGGGCTTACTGTGTGTGTGGTGCACGGAGGAAGAAGTATGGGCATAAATTAAAAATTAATTTTCTATAAATTAGAAGAAAGGACGATCCTTCCCCTTACCTGGTGAGTAATGCAGTTTACCTACATCTCCACTGCTGCTGCTACTGCCAAGGCTTGTGTTGCTCTGGGTAAGTTCACTAGGGACCAGCCCTGAGATACTCGTGTTAGGTGATATATTCTCTCCTAAAATATGGTCTTCAAGGCCAGCTGGGAAGCTGTAATCTCTCTTTGTTTCCTCCTTTAATTGAAAAGAATAAAATCCCACATACATAAGTAATACCTTTCCCAATGAGAATATATTCACTCTACCCTTTTCAGAATTAAACTCATCTATAATTCTTAAATAAATCATCATCATCATATGTTTCAAAACCATGAACTCTTTCTGTTATTTGGAATTTCTCTTCCGTACTCTAAGACATTCAAGCAATGACCTATGCTTTAAGATTATGCTGTGCTCCTAGTGTATATTAGGAGTGTGGGGTTTATTCCAATATTCAAAATTATAAAATGAAGGAACTCTAGACGCTCACTATGCCCAGTGTAATCAGAGACCCCAGTCCAAGTAGAGTAGGGGCTTCCAAGAGTCAGCCAGATTGTGGTCTTGGCCCCCCTTCACATATTAGGTATGTGACCTTGCAGAAATTACTTAACTTCCATAACTTTTAATTATATTATCTGAAAAATGTGGATAATGTAAGTACATTAAAATAAGGTTGTGGTGAGAATTTTAGCTGGCAATATGATTATTCTGAATAACAGCCATCATTATTAGAGGAATAAAACATGAACAGTTCTGAACACTGTAGTTCTTAACCACTGTAAGTGATTGTTGATGCTTTAGATAGAAAACATTTCAATAAGCAGTTTCCTTTTTAATTTTTGCTTTAAAGGAGAAAGACTTGTGTCTTCCTTGTTATAAAACCATATTAAATGATTTTTAAAAATTAAATAGATATGCAAAACAGGAAATAAAACACTTATAATATCAACATCCACAGAGTGCAGTAAAAATCTTGATGTATATCCTTCTAGTCAAAAATATGCATACATAATACGTTTTTACAAAATAGGATATTTTTAACCCATTCTTCTCATGTAGTTTATCATTAAATCTTCTACATTATTTAAATCCCTGCAACCTAATCTGATTTACTGATGTATTATTAAGATATTAGTAAATCCTCTACTGCTTAAACATTCAGAATCCTGTAAATTTTATGAGTTACACTGCTGAATTCACTTGAGCTATTTTTACACATATCCCTAAATATTTTCTTAAATTCTGGATAAAAGTTATGAATATTTTACAGACTTTTTATTCATTCCTTCACTTGAAAATATTTATTAGGTATATCCTATTTGCCTTTGCAGTCAATGGTACTAGGGCGATAGTAATGAAAAGAAAGATTAAGATCTGCAACCACCTGGAATTTACAGTCATATATTCCAAGTCCAAATTACTCTGTAGAAAGCTTTATATTTAACACTGCTAGATAAAATTTCAAAAGTGAAATGGCTCACACTGTTTTTTTTGTTTGTTTTAAATATAATTCCAGGTTAAGATGCTTTTGAAGTTAGCTTATTTTGTCTTTCCTTAACTGACCTTCTAAGTTCTTTAAATACAAAATTTGCCCACTCCTATCTTCACAAAAAGATATTATGATTAATTCTCTTTATGATGATTTTTAAAAGGATTAGCAGTTTTTCAAAGGCTATATAACAAAAGACAAGAAGGGCATTATATAATGATAAAGGGATCAATACAAAAAGAGGATCTTAAAGTCATTAACATATATGCACCCAATTCAGGAGCACCTAAATAAATAAAGCAAAGACACAAAGGGAGAAATTGACACTAATACAAAAACAGTAAGAGACTTTAACACCCCACTGACATCAATGGACAGATCATCCAGACAGAAAATCAATAAGGCAACAGAGGTCCTAAAGGACACAATAGATGAGTTGGACTTAACTGATCTCTAAAGGACATTACATCCAAAACCAGCAGAATACACGTTCTATTCTGTAGAATGCACATTTTTCAAGTGCACGTGGAACATTCACCAGGAAAGACCACATACTAAGTCACAAACAAGCCTCAAAAAATCTAAGAGGATAGAAATTACACCACGCATCTTTTCTGACCACAACAGTATGAAACTAGAAATCAACTAGAGAAAGAAAAATGGGAAAAGAACAAACACATGGAGACTAAACAACATGCTACTAAAAAACCAGTGGGCCAATGCTAAAATCAAAGAAATCAGAAAACACCTTGGGACAAATGAAAAGTAAAACATATCTTTATAAAACCTATGGGATCCTGCAAAAGCAGTTCTAAGAGGGAAATTCACAGTAAGACAGGCCTTCTTTCAAGAAACAAGGAAAATCTCAAACAACTTAGCCTACCACCTAAAAGAATTAGAAAAAGAAGAACAAAGCCCAAAGTCAGCAGAAGGAAGGAAATAATAAAGACCAGAGAGGAAATAAAATAGAGATTAAAAAAATAATAGAAAAGATCAATGAAACTAAGAGCCAGTATTTTGAAAAGATAAACAAAATGGACAAACCTCTAGCCAGGCTCACCAAGAAGAAGAAAGAGGACCCAAATAAACAAAATAAGAAATGAAAAGAGTAGAGTAGAAATAACAAATAATACAGAAATACAAAAACTCGTAAGAGAATACTAAGAACATTTATATCCTAACACATTGGGCAACATAGAAGAAATAGACAAATTTCTAGAAACATACAGCCAGCCAAGACCGAGTCAAGAAGAAATAGACAATTTGAAGAGACCAATTACTAGAAGTGAAATAGAATTGCCAATAACAAAACTACCTGCAAACAAAAGTCTAGGACCAGACAGCTTCACTGGGGAATTCTACCAAACATGTAAAGAAGAGCTAAAACCTATCCTTCTAATACTATTCCAAATTATTAAAGAGGATGAAACACTCCCAAACTCATTCTACGAGGCCACTATTACCCTGGTACCAAAACCAGACAAAGATACTACAAAAAGTGAAAGTTACAGACCAATATTCTTGATGAATATAGATGCAAAAATCCTCATCAAAATATTAGCAAACCAAATCAAACAACATATAAAAAGGATCATACACCATGATCAAGCTGGACTTATTCTGGGGACACAAGGATGGTTCAACATATGCAAATCCATTAATGTGGCACACGGCACTAACAAAAAGAAAGACAAAAACCACATGATCATTTCAATAGATGCTGAAAAAGTATTTGACAAAATTCAACATCCATTCATCATAAGAACTCTCATCAAAGTGGGTACAGAAGGAACATATCTCAACATAATAAAGGCCATTTATGACAAACCCACAGCCAACATAATAATGGTGAAAAGATGAAAGCTTTCCTGTTAAATTAAGGAACAAGACAAGGATGCCTACTCACACCCCTTCCTTCTATTTAACATAGTATTGGAAGTACTAGCCAAAGTTATCAAACAAGGGAAAAAAGGGTATCCAAACTGGAAGGGACTGCAGATGACATGATACTCCATACAGAGAACCCTAAAGTCCCCACCCAAAAACTTTTAGAATAAATGAATTCAGAAAGGCTGAAGGATACAAGATTAATATATAGCAATCTGCTGCATTTCTATACACTAATAATGAAATATCAGAAAGTTAAAATCCCATTTAAAACTGCATCAAAAGAAGAAAAAAACCTAGGAATAAACTTAATCAAGGAGGTTAAAGACCTACACACTGAAAACTATAAAACATTGATAAAAGAAAGTGAAAATGATTAAAAGAAATGGAAAGATATTCCCATGCTCTTGGATTGGAAGAATCAGTATTATTAAAATGGCCACACAGGGGCTTCCCTGGTGGTGCAGTGGTTGAGAGTCCGCCTGCCAATGCAGGGGACACGGGTTTGTGCCCTGGTCCAGGAATATCCCACATGCCACGGAGCGGCTGGGCCCGTGAGCCATCACCACTGAGCCTGTGTGTCTGGAGCCTGTGCTCCGCAACGGGAGAGGCCACAACAGTGAGAGGCCCGGGTACCGCAAAAAAAAAAAAAAAAAAAAAGCCACACTACCCAAAGAAATCTACAGATTGCATCCCCTATCATTTTTCACAGAAATAGAATAATCCTAAAATTTATATGGGACCACAAAAGGCCCCAAATTACCAGAGCAATCCTGAGAAAAAAAGAACAAAGCAGGAGGTATAAACGTCCCAGACCTCAGACTATACTGCAAAGCTACAGTAATCAAAACAGTGTGGTACTGGCACAAAAAAACAGATACATAGATCAATGGAACGGAACAGAGAGCCCAGAAATAAACCCACGCACCTACAATCAATTTATGACAAAGGAGGCAAGAATATACAATGGAGAAAAGACAGTTCTATCAACAAGTGGTGCTAGGAAAACTGGACGGCTACAGGCAAAACAATGGGATTAGAAAATTCCCTCATACCATATACAAAAATAAACTCAAAATGGATTAAAGGGGCTTCCCTGGTGGCGCAGTGGTTGAGAGTCCGCCTGCCGATGCAGGGGACACAGGTTCATGCCCCGGTCTGGGAAGATCCCACATGCCGTGGAGCGGCTGGGCCTGTGAGCCATGGCCGCTGAGCCTGCACGTCTGGAGCCTGTGCTCTGCAACGGGAGAGGCCACAACAGTGAGGCCCAAATACCGCAAAAAAAAAAAAAAAAAAAAAAATGGATTAAAGACCTAAATATACAACCTGAAACCATAAAACTCCTAGAAGAGAACATAGGCAGGACACTCTTTGACATAAATCATAGCAGTATTTTTTGGATCTGTCCCCTAAAATTAATAAATGGGACCTAATTAAATTTAAAAACTTTTGCACAGCAAAAGAAGCCATCAACAAATCAAAAAGACAACCTATGGAATCAGAGAAAATATCTGCAAATAATGCAAGTTACTCAAAATATACAAACAGCTGATACAGCTTAATATAAAAAAAGAAACAAGCAATCCAATCAAAACATGGGCAGAAGACTTGAATAGATATTTTCCCAAAGAAGACATACAGATGGCTAACAGGCACACGAAAAGATGCTCATCATGACTAATTATTCAAGAATTGCAAATCAAAACCCCAAAGAGGTATCACCTCACACCTGTCAAAATGTCTATATCAAAATGTCTACAAATAACAAATGTTGGAGAGGATGTGGAGAAAAGGGAGTCCTCATACATTTTTTATGGAAATGTAAATTGGTGCAGCCACTATGGAAGACAGTATGGAGGTTCCTTAAAAAACTAAAAATAGAATTACCATAAGATACATCAATTGCACTCCTGAGTATATATCCAGAAAAAAAGGAAACACTAATTCAAAAAGAGACATGTACCACAATGTTCATAGCAGCACTATGTACAACAGCCAAGACATGGAAGCAACCCAAGTGCCCATCAACAGACGACTGGATCATAAAGATGTGATACACACATACACACACACTGGAATATTACTCAGCCATTAAAAAGAATGAAATATTGCCATCTGTAGCAACATGGAGAGACCTAGAGAATATTAATGCTTAGTGAAGTAAGTCAGACAGAGAAAGATAAATACTGTATGATATCATTCATATGTGGAATCTAAAAAGTCATACAAATGAATGTATATACAAAACAGAAACAGACTCAAAGAAATAGAAAACAAACTTATGGTTACCAAAGAGGAAGGGGAGAGGGACAAATTAGGGGTACGGGTTTAACAGATACAAACTACTATACATAAAATAGATAAGCAACAGGAATTTACTTTCTAGCACAGGGAATTATACCCAATATCTTGTAGTAACCTAAAATGGAATATAATGTGCAAAAACTGAATCACTATGCTGTACACCTGAAACTAATACAGTATTGTAGATCAACTGAACTTCAATAAAAAGTTAGCAGTTTGGGGGACTTCCCTGGTGGTCCAGTGGGTAAGACTGTGCTCCCAATGCAAGGGGCCCAGGTTCGATCCCTGGTTGGGGAACTAGATTCCACATGCATGCCGCAACTCAGAAGCCTGCATGCTGCAACTAAAGATCCCGCATACTGCAACTAAACATGCCGCGACAAAGATCCCACGTGCTGCAACTAAGACCCCGTGCAGCCAAAATAAATAAATAAATAGTTAGCAGTTTTTGTTGTGCAGTATTGAAATCTACTGATTAAGTTGTAGAGTGACTTCACATATCTTAAAGAGATAACACAGGTGAAAGCTATTTAAAAAGTGAAGTGCTATGCAAATATAACATTATTAAATCAAACATTAATCATTAGTTCTTTCAAATCAACAGACTTAATGTGTTAGTTTAGACTGGGCTGTGGAATTATAAAGTAGTCCTGATATTCTATTTCTTCATTATTAATTTCCTTACATGTATGTTGAAGTCATTTCAAGAAAGAAGTAGGATATGCATGTTTTAAAATATTAAAAAGTTACCAGAAATATCTAAATAATAATATATATATTAAAAAATACTCCAAACATTCCAACATCAGACAGATGCCACACATAAAACACTCTTACCTCATCATCTGAATAGCTGTAGGCAGATGATACAGCTACCCACATCTTACTGGCTACTGTAGCTGCTTGTTTCATACCAGATTTTAGCACATCCATCTTGGGTCCTGAGAGTATATTGTCCAGCTTTAGCCCTGACAAAGAATTTACCACAGAACCCAATGAGCCATGTGGTGAAGAACGGACCAGTGCTGATAAAGAAGCTGAACGTTCTTTATGACCTCGGGAGGGAGTTTGTTGCCGGAAACGCCCAGTAAAAGTTTTAGATCTGGACACTGCAGGGGAGCTCTTTTCACTTTCAGGACTGTCCTGTGCTGCAGGACCATGATCTAAAGGTAGGCTTGATCTCCTCTCTAAAGGGTGAGTAAATGCACCGGTAGTGCCAGGCTCTCTGTTTCCCTCTCCATGTAGTTCCATACTAGAAGACTTGCTACCCAAGGGACTCTTTAGATTCATATAGCTTTCAATTTCATCAGCCAGATTACGTGCAATAACTGGAGAAAACAACTTATCTTCTGAATCAGGAGTTTTTTCTCCTATACATTCAGTGGCTAAAAGTGACAAAGGATCTAGTCCAGTTTCAACATCTTCCCTCTCAATAGCTTTAGCAACACCACATAAACTACTTCTCTTATTTACTAGATCTTTGGATCCTGCTTTCAAGTCTCTGGACTGATTACTGTCATTTTGTAGGCTGTCACATGTATCCTTTGTCACAGGAGTTTTAGCTACATTTTCATCAACCACAGGTTCTATGAACTCTTGGCTTTCCTCAAGCATCTCTAACACCGATGAAGATCTGTGCTCAGAATCCCAAGTGCTTTCAGACACACGAGTCCTAGTGTCAGCTGGATGACAGCTAATACTCTCAAAGCTATGGGTTCTTGCGATATGAAGTGGAGAAGTCTTAGGACTCGTCAGTGCTGCTGTGAGAATCCTGGCATCTGCTCCCATCATGATAGCCACTTCACTTGAAATTAAATCCAAACTGCTCTTCTTAAGCAACATTCCTGCTCGACTTTCAGAACTAAAACTACAGCTTCTCTCCGGAAAATGCTTTTGCCTTTTTTCTCCTCTATCACCATTCTTCTTGAGATTAGTAACTTCGCCAAGGACTGCATCTTCAACTGGATCTTGAGTAGAAAACAGTATATTTGGTGTACTACCTAAAAAGAGAAAGTGCAGTATTAAAAATAAATCTCTATTTTCTGATGTAACTTTTATAAAAATGTTTTTTTCTAATTTTTGAAAGTGACATATACTTAAAGTAAAAGATTCAGAAAGGTAAGATGGTATACAGAAAAAGTCCAAAAATTACTCCATTCAACCCTGCCTCTCAGAGATAACATTTTAATGTATAATCTGCCTTTCATCCTCTATGCATATACACACATTTTTTAAAAAGATCGTGCAATATATACTGTATATACCTGTACTGTTCACTAAAGATATCACATCTATCAATAAATATACATCTATAAACATGTTTTATATTTTAAGAGTTTTATATTCAGTTTAAGAAATATATTCCACATTAAATAGCAGACCTAAAAAGAAATGATCTCTTCTATCTTGGGTTTCATATATCTAATTCAACAAGTATTTGCCAGGAATCTACCCTGCAGAAAGCAAATTCATAATCATAGAGAAATTATATATTTGCTATAGCCAAAGCCTTACTTCTCCAAAGTAAAAGGATCTAGAATGGAGCACTTAGAATCGGCAGATTCCAAGAAGCCTGCTAAAATCTGAATAGCCAAAATTTGTTCAGATATGTTTATTCCTTCAACAAATATCTGAATTCCTACTAGCACCCACTATGTGAGGTGCTAAGAATACAATGGAGAATAAAACTGACATAATCCCAGCCCTCACAGAGGTCAATCTTGTTTGAGCAAGTGGAACAAAATTATGCCAGTGTCTGTAGGAACCTCCCCCACCTTTGGGGGATGCAGGCAGTCGTTAACTCTTTGCTACCATGCAATTTTTTCCACGCCAAGACCAAAAGCTATTTCTAGTTGCATCATTAGCAGAACTTAAGTCTACCCATTCATATTTAGGATTCTCATTTTTTTTGTTTTTTGTTTGTTTGTTTGTTTTGTTTTTGCGGTACCCGGGCCTCTCACTGCCGTGGCCCCTCCCATTGCGGAGCACAGGCTCCGAACGTGCAGGCTCAGCGGCCATGGCTCATGGGCCCAACCGCTCCGCGGCACGTGGGATCTTCCCAGACCGGTGCATGAACCTGCGTCCCCTGAATCGGCAGGCGGACTCTCAACCACTGTGCCACCAGGGAAGCCCTCTCATTTGTTTTTTAAAAAGTATAATGACCTGGGAGTTTGGAAGGGAAAGTTGTCATTATGATAAGATCTTTTTTTTAATCTTCCAAATTGATTTCAAGGTTCTTTTTAATATTCCAAATTGGTATCTATTAATAATCATAAGCTTTCCAATTAAACAGAATAATAAGCATTTAGAGATATTTTTAAAGCATGTAAGGGAATTAAATTAGCCTATTTTATAACTCCGAAGTTTGTACCTGCTTTGAAAACTTTTAACAATATTTGAGAAAAGATCTTTGCAAATTTACTGGTTCTCATATCATTTCTAGGAAATTTAGTGTCACATTTTGTTCAATTTTAAAATAAAATTGACTGTTTGATATACTGGAAAAAGCCTCATTACCACCTCCTCTTTTCTTAATAGAACAAATCTTCCTACATCAAAATGTAACATGGAAATAAGATCAATAAAAAGAGAAGAAAATGCACCAGTCCCCAGACTATGTCCATTTCAATATTCTGAGAAGATTCTAAACCTCTGATGAAGAAAACTGCCCTCCTTTTTTTTTTTTTTTTAACCTGCTATTAATAGGTTGGGAAAATGGGATAAAGAATATATATATCAATTATTTTTTTCAAAACATCTGTAGCTCCACCTCATTAGCAAAACACTATCCGCTCACTCCCTGTAAAATAACCGAACTTGGTATCACAATTTAAAAAAAAAAAAAAACAACTTTAGGAATAAGGAGTATTTTCCACATTGACTTAAAAAGCTGAGCGAATTAATTTCTATAAAGTCATACAACAGATACACTTACAGATAGACTGCTGACTTTAGGGACGTGAACTGTAGCTACTACTAACAAAAGACAAATGACACAGGCCAATTTCATTGTCTTTTAAAATCATACACTTAAGACGTATGCCTTAAGGGTACTTAGGAGGACTACACATAATTGAAGGCAGTAAACACAAATTCACGGGAGTCACACACAACAGAGTTATTCATTACAAATACTTAACCATAAACAGAAAGTGGCTCAGAGTACCTAGAATAATTGGGCAAAAATTAAAGACCCGCTGGTATTTTTGTGCAGAACGTTAAGTGATGTGAATCTTTTTCTTCTATTTCCCTTCAGGCTTAGGAATTACCCTGCCACACACAAGCCCTTTGGAATTTGACCACATAACTGCCTCTCTGTTAGGATGAGTATAGCAGGCCCGTCCTACAGTCCTCTCTCATTATCAACCATAGGAAAGGAGGACGGAACTCAGAACAAGCACTATAACAAGAAAAGGTATTCCAAATAACAACTAAACACACTTAATACCCTTCCTTTTAAAAATGAATTATCTTTAAATAACTATTTTAATTTCTTCTTTAGCACATTTATAGGATTCAGCTTACTTCTGGCTCTTTAGCATGTTCATTACAATTAAGTTAGCAATTTATAATGTCATTAAAGACACACATGTACCTATAGAAATGTAATTTAACTAAGTGATAACCAATATGTAAAGACTCACCAGTGCTACTTTTCCTGCCATTGACATCAAATATACCAGATGGAACTTTCACAATACTGCCGCCCCATGCAGGAGGCTCAGGAGGACTCGGGGGCTCTGCACTAGGTTGTGAATGTTTGGCCACAACAGCAGAGACATCGCATACCTCTGGGAAAAAATATTTGGGTGTTATCATTTCTATTTTTGCCAGTATTGAACAGAAACAAAGTATTTTTAAAATATATTTTATGTATTTTTTCTCTAAGTGGGGGTGAATACTTTTTCTCTATTTTATTACTGATTTATTTTATGCCATAAATGTTGCCAGTACTGACTGAAATAAATGCTTTATTTTAACATTCATAATCCTAACTTGAGCATTCCTGAGTGAATAAATTAAGGCTTTGGCCTTCTGTCACACTCCTCATCACTTGTCAAGTAGGAGAGGGGCTTGCTTCTGCATAATTCTAGAGCATAAAGTAAGTGACATCATTAAAGAAACTGTACTTTTTTGTAAGAAGATAGGAAGACCATCGTATTATCAAAAAGCCAAAATATTTCTCCATATTTCCTTAAAATGACTACTACAAATCAGTTCTCATTTCTATCTCAATGAGTCCCCTAAAAAAAGGAAAACTACACAGACTATATTGGAACCTACAAATGAAAATTATCAACTTAGATATTTGAAGGACTTCTAGTGAAAGAGCATTTTAAAATAAAAGTTTGATGACTCAGAGTTTAGTCCTGGTTCTGTCACAAAGTAGTTATTTAACACTGGCAAATGAATACCTTGATGGGCTGCAGTTTCCTACAAACTTGAGGGCTGACCTACAGAGTCTCTAAAGATCTCTTAAATTCTAAAATTCAGAGACTACCAAAAATCTATCATATATAAGAGTACATAGTATCTTATAAGCCCAGACTTTACATTTCTGGAAATTATCACCAAAATTATCAAATAAGACTTTTAATTAACACAGGTATTTTTCTAAGTAAAGCTAGTAAACATCAGTACTTAACCTTCTGTTTGCACTTTTGTTTTGGTTATCAAGTCTCCTGATACTTGTTCTTCAGGCACATGAATTTCTGCATCATCCTTTATAAGTTCATCCTTAGACCCATAGCCTTGGTCAGACTGACCACCTGTTAAAAAGAATGTAGGCTGACATATAAATGTTTTCATATATTTATAGTCCAGCTATAAAATGTCAAAAGGAAATTCCACCAACTTACACAATTAAACTTGTAAAAAAAAGAAGAGAAGAAAGCTCATGAAGCACACGAAACATTTTACAACGATGGTAAGAATCAAAGAACAGTAGAAACAGGAACATCAAAGACTAAAAACCATTACACACTTGGAAGCAGTGAATCTTAATTTAATTTCCTTACCTATAAATTAGTAGATTTGGATAAGATGTTTTGAAAGTTTCTTTTAGAGTGCATCTACAGAATGCTACCTTTTGCGTAAGAAAGAAGTGGAAATAAAACAAACATATATCTGCTTACTTTTGCAAAAAGAAATGCAGGAATAATAAACCAGAAAACAAAACTGGTTACCTACAAGGGATGGGGGAAAATAGGATGGAAGGGATTGAGAGAGGAAACTTCTCTAAATATGGTTATCATATTGTTTTTATTTTTGGAAATGTATTAACTTCTACAAGTTCAAAAACTTAAATCAGCAAAACTGAGGGCCAGGGTGTAACTAAAACTGAATGCACACGGAAACAAACAAAAACCAACTGTTTATGAGTAACATGATCACACTGAAAGGATGGGGGAGGACTAATGTAATGTGTAACTTTTAACTTTTAACTGTGTAACTTTTAACACATCATTCTGAGTATATACCCTAGTCATTGGGGGTAACAGTCAAATCCTAAACTCCTTAGGTTTATTTCTCACAGGGGAATGGATATAGCAATTCTGAAATTATATTATGTGCACTGTAGGACTGAGCAAATGAGTAAATGTGATGATGTTGGGAGCCAAGATTCTTACAGTGGAAGAAGAGAGATCTTTAAAAAGTGAAATGAAGGAAGGCAAAGAAAAACCTGTGGGGCTGATTTGGAATTAGAAGTATTTCTAAAATACATACACATTTTTCTACCTCTGCTGAAAAAGTCTAGAACGACAACACCCTGGAGGGAGTAAGCATTTCTACAGCCCAGACATTCGTTTCTAAAATCTATTGCCCATTAAAAGGAACCTGGGATCCTTGAAGAAAAGGCCGATTCCAGAGCTCAGTCAGGGAAGGTACAAGAATGAGCCAGGAACGTTTTGTTATGCAAGAAAGCAAGTGCTCAAAAACATGAGAGGACATTTCTAAAGGACATTCAAAAGAATATTATCTTATAAATGTGAGGGGACAATAGAGTTGGCAAAATCACCACCTTACAGCCATCACAGTAAAACGATTGGTTCAGGCAAGAATCATCAATGGATGATAAATTTAAAAAAGAAAGTGTGATGAAAAAGAAGATATTGTTGCATAGTCTCAGTGTCTCTTCACAAATAGCTTATTATCTGCAAGGGGGATAATGGTAACTAATAGAAACCGAACACTGACATCAAGTGATCAAAATTAACGTTACCAATGAGGGGCAGACAGACATTGTGTGCCTCTGGGTTGTGATCATCTCAGAAGGATTTAACATAATTTTTGTAGAAGAGCCATGGATGCATAACCTAATCTAATCAAATTTGGCAGCATTCCACAAAATAACTGGACGTATTCTTCAAAAAGGTCAAGGTTACGAAAGACAAAGAAAAGGTGGGGAACTGTGCCTGGTTAAAGGAGACTAAAGAGGAGTTAAAGTACCACAAAGGACATTATAGCTGACAACACTGGAATACAGACTATACATTAAAGAAGTAAAACAATGTTTTCCTGAATTTGGAAACTATACTGTGGTTATGTAAGAGCAAATACCACTGAAGTATTAAGAGGTAAAAGGGCAAGATGTATGCAATCTGCTCTCACATAATTTAGGGGAAAAAAGTGCATGTGTACAGAAAGAAACTGATAAAGCAAATGTGTCAAACTAAAAGTGAATGAAACTAAATAAAAGTTATTCAAGAGTTCTTTGTACTATTCTTCAAACATTTAATAAGTTTAAAATTAAAACTGAAATAAAGGCAAGTTACCAGGGGATCATTATAAAGGATGTCAATGAAAAACACATAAAACAAAAAATATAGTGCCTTCCACTGTCTACCACTTTTTTTTTTTTTTTTTTTGGTACGCGGGCCTCTCACTGTTTTTGCCTCTCCCGTTGCGGAGCACAGGCTCCGGACGCGCAGGCTCAGCAGCCATGGCTCACGGGCCCAGCCGCTCCGCAGCATGTGGGATCCTCCCGGACCGGGGCACGAACCCGCGTCCCCTGCATCGGCAGGCGGACTCTCAACCACTGCGCCACCAGGGAAGCCCACTTTTTATTTTTATTTTTTTTTTTGTGGTATGCGGGCCTCTCACTGCTGCGGCCTCTCCTGCTGCGGAGCACAGGCTCTGGACGCGCAGGCCCAGCGGCCATGGCTCACGGGCCCAGCCGCTCCGTGGCATGTGGGACCCTCCCGGACCGCGGCACGAACCCATGTCCCCTGCATCGGCAGGCGGACTCCCAACCACTGCACCACCAGGGAAGCCCCACTTTTTATTTTTTCACTTTCTACCACTTTTTTAACTGCCTTTCAAACTTTGGGTTCGCCATATAACAAAAGAATTAAGCTTTAAAAAAACCTGCTATTTAGATAACCAACAAGGACCTGCTATATAGCACAGGGAACTATACTCAATATGTTGTAATAACCTATAAGGGAAAAGAATCTGAAAAAGAATATATATGTGTGTATGTGTGTATGTGTATATAACTGAATCACTGTACACCTGAAATTAACACAATACTGTAACTCTGTACTTCGATTAAAAAAATTTTTAATTAAAAAAAATACTGCTATTTAGAATGACTTCTTTCAGTCATTTTTTTTTTTTATTGGCCCCCCTCAGAAAGTCTGGTAAAGCATTACGGTGCCATGAAATGGACACTAGACTGGGAACTGAGTAAACTGATTAAACCCAGATATGCCCTCAACAAGCTAAGTGACTCAGTATCAGGTACTAAGTGGAAAGATTCTGTGAGATAATCCTTAATGAAAAGAGTAACTTAAGCATCTGGGCTGGAAGTCTCCAAAAATATCAGATGATATCACCAGAAACTCTACAGAGACACATAATCACTGTAAATTCAGTATCAGAGCTTCAGTCATTTGAAATGTAGCTTAAAAGAAATATATGAAAAAGGGATCTGAAGTTTCTTCCCCAACTGGGGAATATGGAATCTTTATGCAGTTTCCCAGAATTACTAGTAAATCTTTTTTTTTGCCTTTAAAGGAGACAAGTTTAAAAATCCAGAGAGATAAGGAGAGTGTTTATCTATTATTATTATTAGTGAAATGGTTTCATACCACAAATTATTTTCTTGATTTTCCATAAATGGAATCCATTTATTCTATAAGCACTAGGAAAAAAATACAGGAGGAAATAAAATAAGGTGGTTTTCAAATGAAAGTCTCATGAAAATTCCCACATGTTGAAAGAAATTTAATTTATAAGCAGGATTGCAACTTACAGCTTTATGTTGACTTTCACCAATTTACACATGCTTCTGTAATTATGGGGATAGTTTTTAGCACAAGAATCAGCAGTTCAGTTTTAGCAAGCAAAAACCACCTTAACAGCTGGAATACTGAAATCTTTAACGCTCATAAAACTATTTGACTCAATGATGCTACAAACCACCCTCAAAATAAGAATTGTAGCAAGGCATAGCATATTTTCAATTAAGATAAATATGCTTTGCAAATTGATCATAAAGCGTTAGTTGGGTATTTTCAGTAGTATGTATATGATTACACGTATCTGAAGGAGAAAAAGCCAAGAAAACTAAAACTGCTTTCCACTTGCAACAGTACTTAAAATATAACAAAAGGCCTCTCCCCCACCCTTGCATGTCAGCAAAATTTAACCTAATAAATGGGAAATTACCTGAAGTGGTTAACATTCAAGGGTAGAATTAATGCACACGTGTATCCATAGCTTCACGTCACACAAGTCTGTCTGCACCCCACACCATGACAGCCAAGGACAAATGCAGCACCAAGAAACAGCACAGAGCAAAAAGCAGAGCAACAAAGAGTAGAGAAAAGGAAACTTCAGTCATTGAGACAAGTTCATCAGATGAAGCACAGGAATTAGACTCAGAATTCTTTTTAAAGAAAAGCTTGAGATATTAACAATAACAAAAAAGAAAAACACGAGAAGGATGTGCAACACACATATATCTGCTCAACGTGCTACTTTAATTAAGCTTATTTCTAACTTCAGAGGACAGAGATTATGCCCATAGCTTTGTATGTAAAAGCAGCTTCAGTAGTTTCTCAGATTTTAAAAAGTGTCATTTAAAGTAATGACTATGCAAAGAATACGTTTTTCTCGTGGTGTGTGACTTATTTTCTTCCCTCTTTAATATTCATAATCTCAAATCTTTAATAAATATTATCCACTTAATGAAAAGAAGATTTGCAATTGTGTCACTAACAGTCAAGTTCCTCAGCTCACAATTCCTTACAATTATATCAAATACTTTCACAAATTAATGATGAACGAACACAAAGAAGTACCATGTAAGAGCCTTTTGCACAGCACTCCCAAGTTTATTTTATACTATAGGAAATAAGAGAAGTGATCTGCAATCAGAGGTGTACCTTCTCCCCTTATTTATGTATGGTATTTTTTAGGTATTCATATTGCACAAACTTGAGAGAGGAAGGTAAAAGTTTTTTTTAAAAATGGAAGACTTAACATGAGAGTAAGTGAAGGGTTAGTAAAATCCAGATTTTAGTACCTGTGCTAGAGTGATTATCAGTGGAATCAAGACTGATTAAATCTCTGACGAAGACTGTGTGCTCCCCACTGTTAGCATCATTAGAACTATCCACACTACCGTGGCTCACCGTGTCCCCATCACTTCCACCTGTGGCATTTTGAGGAGCTAAAGATAAGGACAACAGCAGTTCAATAACTCATGCACTGGTAATCTTTGAAACTAAACATGAGTGACTCACAGTTCATTTAAAGTTGCAGAATACTTTCTAAATTTGTGAGAGAAGAAAATAATTTTGGACTAGGCAACCTCTATCTTTAGTAGTATATGAAAAAATCAAAACTAGAATTTCATTTACATTTACTGCCTCATATAAGTAAAAATTCATATGTCTATAAAGCTTATGGTTCAGCAAGAAAGTATCTTTCCAACCACATTTATTACCTGATATTGAGGAGACCTGTGACTTTTGCACGGTATTTTTAAGTGGCTGCCTAAATTGTGCCAAGCCACGTACCACATTCCGTACCTTCATCCATAAGAAGATACCACTGCGGGTACTGCTAGGCCACGGGCTCTCCAAAACTACCTAAAGGTAAAATAAAGGTTAAAATAATCTTTATTAGGAATATTTGAATTTTTAAAAAATACATACACATATAATATATACAAAAAGAATTCTACCCCAAAACGTCTAAAAAAAGTTTCTTAAATAAAAGGCATAATAAATCTATCAATCTTAATAAGCAGCATATATTGCCTAATGTCAATCCTACTTACCTTATTATAATAGCCGTAAGTAATAGCATTTGGCTTTATTTTAGCAGTTTTCATTTCAAATAAAACTCTCACTGCTAAGACAGGATGACCCCAAAGTCCACAAAGCTGCATTACTACTCGATAGCACACCTAACAAAAAATAACATCAAAGCATTAATAGTTAGCATATTAGTCTGTGACTTGTAGAGATTTTTAAATGACTTTACTCAATTCTTCTTTTCAAAGTTATTAAGCAATAGTTATTACTATTTTCTCCTTTGTTCTGGTTTGAGAGTCTCGGTAAACTATTTTTTAAAACTATTCATCAATGGAAGTACCAGCATTATTAACTTTTCCACATAAGACCTATGGGCACGTGTGCCGTTTGTTTCAGTAACTAAGTTTACACAAAGAAAACAACTATTATTTTCCATAATATGAGAAGGAATTCATTTTTAAAATCAAGCATGATTAAAATAGCTCTCTCCCAAATCATGTTCTATATTTTATGCCAAAGGAATTAAAAGCAGCATCTCCAGAATGCCTACATAACAAAAAGAATTCTATGAACCCGTGTCTTAAAAAAAGTATGAGAAGAAAGTTAAAAACACTGTAATATTATTAGCAAAGGCTTTTCTGAGAATATGTGTTTACTGAAGAGGGCTAAATTTGATCAGAAGAGGACGACTCAATGGGGAGCTCCTAAAAGTTAGAATATCACATTTGGAAGACAACAGTAGAAACCATGAAGAATGAAACAGGAATCTCATGGATCCCTGGCAAAGAGGTGAGCCAGTTTACAAAAGCAGTGAACAAGGCAGCCAAAGACTACTAGAGCTTAATCTGAGAATAAGAAAAGATACATAAAAAAGATACTCTTCTTGGGACTTGTAAAATGTCCTCTGTTTATAACAGAGCTGTTTAACAACTGTGAGTACCATAAAGCCAAGTTGCACTCTCTACTAAAGGGGAAAGTAAATAGATTTGAGAAAGGATATTTTATTCAAGAGATGAAGTAGGGAAAGAGATGTGAAGAGGCAGAGGATCATAAAGATGAGTACTCTAAAGCTAGAAATGGAAAGTTTAATTTAGGAGCAGAGGAGTTCAGAAACAGAGTAACTTCATAAATGATTAGGTTAAAGAAGTGTTAGGAAACTACATAAATTAGGAACAAATGGGAGAACTAGGTAAGATGTATGACGTGATTAAGAAGAATGTGGCACAAGAGTTCTTCAAATATCTGAAGAGTTGTCACTTGAAAGAAGCAGTAAACAGCTTCTGCAGTCCCAAAAAAGCCACAGGGAGGTGGAACTGAACTCAGCATAAAACACAAACTTTCTAACAAAGCCAACTCAAGCATAGGCAAGGTCCCATATATTACAGACCTTCAACATCTCAGGTTTAGGTTGAAGTTTTACTAAAATATCTTGAGGTCCTATTCAACTCTAAGATTCTATGAGCCATGAAGAAGTAAATCACTTTCTATGTCAAACTGGGATTAATCTGAAATTTTCCAAAACCATTCTCAACAATTAATTTATTCTGAAGTCTACAAACTATTCCTCCAAACTTCCAGGCTTACCGGTATAAGAGCCAGGCATCAAACTAAAGAAACAGTAATAATGCCAGGGATATAATTTTTTAATTGCAGTATTTTGTTGCCTACAACATGATACCTTTTGGATATCTATGCTAGATAAAAGATGGCCACAGACTCTTTGCTACTCCTCCCATGAGAAGTCTATGTCCCTTCCCCTTAATTGAGGAGGAAAGCCTCTGAGATTACATGACCAATAGAATTTGCCTGAAGTGACAACTGTACCAGTTTCCTGGCTTAAGCCTTAAGAAAGGTCACTTTCCACTTCCTCTTGAAACAAATGCTCTTGGAGTGCTAAGCTATCATGAGAAAAGCCCAAGTACCACATGGAGAGGTCTGAGACTACATGGAGGAAGAGGGGTCCACCTGAGCCCAGCCTTCCAGATAACCTTGCCAAGGTACCTGGCTGCATGTGAGTTAAGCTGTCTTGGACCTTCCAGACCAGACCAGCTAGCAACTGATTAAAACCAAGTGATTCTAAGTAATACAATGTGGAGCAGAAAAATTACCGCAAATTCTTCCTGGATTTTCAGCAAATAAAATAATAAGATTTAATAAAATGGTTATTTTAAGCCACTAAGTTCTGGGGTGGTTTGTTACTCAGCAATGTACAACAATATCTATATGAATAGACTGATGAGACAAGATAAGCTTGACACAAACATTTCATTTCCATTAAAAATTTAATAAATAGTATTAAAAGCAAAACACACTATGCATTTTAACTTTAATTCAGCCTACATGGCATATGCTATTTCTGGGTCTCTACTAGTTGTATTTAAAAATCTACGTTATTACAACTTCTGCCAACATAACATGTAGAACACAAAGCTGTCAAAACATTAAGCATATGAATGAGACAGTGGGTTCTAATGGAGTATGAACCTAAAAATCAAAACCACTTCCTTGCTAGGTGGCCTTATGTGTGTGTCATTTCATCTAAGTTTCAAATTTCTTTCTTTGTAAAATATAGCTAATATATAACTGCCTCATAGAGTTGCTGGGAATACCAAAGGAAATAATGTACATAAAAATACTGTGAAAATTTTAATGTGCTATTCTATGTGTAATCAATAAACAAATAAAATGCATCAAATATGCCAAGCAAATATGCATCCTTAAGTTTTAAAATAAAGAAACATTTCTTTCTTCCAGTTGTAGAGATGTAATTACTTCAGGTGACTACAAATCTGTCAGTGTAACTTGTTAGAAGTAGGAATACAACAAATTAACCTCCAAATTTTTAAGCCTCCTATCAGAGTGTTTATTGGGAAAAAAGTCTAAAAAACTTTTTTAGCTTACTAGTCGTAATTGCTCATGTTAGAAAACAGGAGAATGTAATTACTTGTAACAAAGACTACCTTAGAACCTTAATATCTATAGAGGAGATTACTTTTCAGGCAATTTGTCTTATGAACTTATCAAAGAAACTTAATCAAGTATTGTGCTTTGAGTTTAGAGTGCAGTAACAAAATTAATACTAGCTCTCTCATAGAGCATATTTTAAAGCACATTAAAAATATTCTGTGCTTGCACAAAGTTAAAGCATATCTTAAAATATATCTTAGATATATTATCTTAGATATATTATCTTAGATATATCTCTATCAGAATAAGTTTTTTAAAACATTAAAATGTATGAGGTACAAAACACTACTTCTGATCAAGCACTTTTAATTTCCAAATAGTTTTTTTTGCGGTACGTGGGCCTCTCACTGCTGCGGTCTCTCCTGTTGAGGAGCACAGGCTCCAGACGCGCAGGCTCAGCGGCCATGGCTCACGGGCCCACCCGCTCTGCGGCATGTGGGATCTTCCTGGACCGGGGCACGAACCCATGTCCCCTGCATCGGCAGGCGGACTCCCAAACACTGCGCCACCAGGGAAGCCCTCCAAATAGTTTTATTAACATCAGATGAGAGAAAATGTAATCAAATGTGAGAATGGATATTTTACTTGTTTTATAACTTTACCTTTTCATTTGAAAATTTTTTAAAACAGATAATACTTAGAGAAAAATGAGTTTTAGTGTGCTCACAAGCATTATCAAATCTTAATAACGTACATGCTTTCTCAGTTTCAGATCTTTTTTATTTTATAAGAGGAGAAAATTACAGTTATTGCTGAAGCCTATAATGTGGCCCTCCTCAATAGCATTTCTCTTCTAATCTGGTGCTCTCTCCTTCTCCCCAAACACCCATTACCCTGAATTTTTATTCCAACTTCATTTTAAATTCTAATCCGGTTCTAAATAATCATTTTAGTTATTTTAACACCAAAAGTAACTTTTAAAGGGAAAAACAGCAACAAGAAGAGCTAAATAAGTAACTCAGTTTCTTCAACCGTTAGTTGGATAATACCACTACCTATCTCTGAGGATGGTTCTCAGGCTTAAGAGATGTAGCACACTGTTCACTGAGCGCTTACCATCAGCCAGGTACTCGTCTAGGCACACTATGTACATTAACTGATTTAACTGTCAAATTAACCATTTGAGGATAGGAACTAAATATTATATACCTCAGTGGGGCAATTTTATCCCCCTGGTGACATCTGGCAATGTCTGCAGACATTTTTGATTGCACGGAGCTATTGGCACCTAGTGCACAGAGGCCAGGGATGCTGCTAAACATCCTACCACGTACAGGACAGTACCCCACAATAAAAAATGATGTGGGCCAAAATGTCAACAGTGCCAAGGTTGAGAAACTCAGACCTCCATTTTCAGACACATAATCTGAAACACAGATAGGTTATGTAACTCACCTAGGACACAGGTCCTAAGTGGAGAGCCACTTACTAAAGGCCTATTTGCTTCCTAATAAAGTTATCTTGAGAATAAAATTAAGTCAATATTTTTTTCTATTTATCAAGGGCAAACAGTCTGGTCTAAGGAAGTCAGTCTCTGCTGCATTTTTTTTTTTTTTTTTTTGCGGTACGCGGGCCTCTCACTGTTGTGGCCTCTCCCGTTGCAAAGCACAGGCTTCGGATGCGCAGGCTCAGCGGCCATGGCTCACGGGCCCAGCCGCTCCGCGGCATGTGGGATCCTCCCGGACTGGGGCACAAACCCGTGTCCCCTGCATCAGCAGGCGGACTCTCAACCACTGTGCCGCCAGGGAAGCCCTCTGCTGCATTTTAAAGCAATAATTTTAAAATAAATGTATTTTAAAATAATAAGTATTAGCTCTATGAAACAGGATAACAATTTTACCTTTCCTACTTAATGAAAATATTCGAGGATACTGGAAAGCAACTGAGACCTAAATTTTCTTAAAAATACAAATAAAATTTATCTTAGTAACAATAACTCAATTTGTTATACTTGCCTCATCTAGAGGATCCACATCTGTTTTCCTCATCTTAATAAGTACATCGTATGCCTGCTGAAGTGCTCTGACCTTAGGATGAGAAACTCTAACATAGGCTGGGAGACAAATAAACCATAAACTGTAACAGTGACTGAAGAGACACTTGGCCCACTGTGGTGGATTTGTATAACATCTCTTTGCCAACTTTTGAGCTGTTTTTATCTCCTAGAAAGAGAATAAATAAAACATCATGACATTCACTAAAATTCATTAGTATGACAGGAAAAGTGAGAAGTAAAAGGAAGAGAGGAATTTAATGTAAAATTTGACTCTAAAATCAAGCATTTCATAGTTTTGCTTTTGTGAATGGCTTCCTACTTAGTGCCCCATGGTTCTTTCTATAGAAGCACTTTATACTGTATTTTAACTATTTGGCAAGCAGGTGTCTCCTAATAGACTAGAAACTCCTTAAAAGCAGAGATCATTCATATTATTATAATACAATGGGTAACTAAGTGCCCCTCACACAGAAGGCACTCATATGTTTGATGAATGAAAGGGATTTCATTTATAGCTTATAGTTCTATAGAATCATTCTTGAAAAGTCAGAGTCTTCTCACTCTTCCCCCTGATAAAAAGTTTAAGATGCCCTAGGCTATTCCCCACCAAGATTTCCACTCTACCTTCTGTGTTAATTCCTTCACTGACTGATTCGTTAAAAAGACCTATTCCTTTGCAGGCAACATAGTCTGAGAAAGATCACAGACCTTCCTACCTAACAGTTTTATGGCATGTTTTCTAGTTCTGATTTTCATTCTGATTTAGGTGGAAGAGAGAAAAAGGTATCAAAGTCACCTGCTGAGCATTATCAAACTCTACATATTCCCAGAAACTATAGAGCCCTCCACACATGTCAGACTGCCACTGTCTGCTTTGCACTAAAGATCCCTCTGCTGGATGTGTCCTAAATAAACATATTGTTATGAGCTCTATTTCCAAGAGACTTGCCTGGAAAAAAAATTCTGGTGAAAATGAGATTTAAAGATGTAGTAGCAAAATTGTCACATTAAAAAAACTTGCCTTTATTAAGCTGATAATGGTTAAAAAAAAAAATTCCCCTCAGACAACACTGAGAGAATTGTGTACTATATGGGATTAAGGATCACCTCAGGTTACCCCTAGGATTCGAGGGACTGTGCATGAATTGGTAAAACCTGAACTAAGAATTTCATTCTGAAATTTTCCATGTTTTGTAGACCCCCAAAACATCAGTATATGTATAAAGGATGTTCAATTTTAACTCACACCTAACCATAGTTTAACTCTTTATACCTAAATCAGATATAGTATTAAAACAAGATGTCTAGGTTGTCCTAAGTTAACTCCCCTTAGAATGTAATATTCAGCAGAAAATATATTTACATTAACCATGAGGAAAAATCAAAATCACAATGAGATACCACTTCATATACGTTAGGATGGCTATAATCAAAAAGACAGAAGATAACAAGAATTAACAAGGATGTGGTAAAATTCCGACTGCTGGTGGGAATTTTAAATGATGTGCCCACTTTGGAAAACAGTCTGATAAGTTCTCAGAAGGTTAAACAGAGAGTTACTATATGACACAGCAATTCTACTTTAGGCATATAACCCAAAGAAATGAAAACATATAACCACACAAACACTTGTACACAAATGTCTACAGCAGCACTATGCATAACAGCCGAAAAGTAGGAACCACCCACATGTACATAAATGGATAAATAAAATATTCTACACAATGGAATATCATTCAGCAATAAAAATACATGAAATACTGATACATTCTACAACACAGATGAACCTTAAAAACATTAGGCTAAGTGAAAGAAGCCAGTCACAAAATGCCACATATGTACAATTCCATTTTTATGAAATGCGCAGAACAGGCAAAATTATAGACACAGAAAATAGATTAGTGATTGCCTGGGGCTGTGGAAGATGGAGGAACTCGGGGGTTAACAGCTAAAGGGTACGGGCTTTCTTTTTAGGGTGATGAAAATGTTCTATAATTGATTGTGATGGTGGCGGCACAACCCTGTGAAGATCCTAAAAGCCAGTGAGTATACTTAAACAAGTGAATTGTATGGTATATGAATTATGTTTCAATAAAGTTTTTTTTTAAGTGTATTTAGTTCCCAAGGTTCTCTTAGAACATAAACATAAGCATTCAAAAACTTCAGCCTCAATATTATAAGTAGGGTTGCAAGAAATCGATTTTAATTCATTAACAACCATAGTGGGTCTTCAAATGATTGCTGTGGGTGACAAGTCTAAACTATGAGCTGCATATCACATATACATAGTTTACATTTTAAATTAGATAAAGAATATCTGACCTGTTTAGTTCTCTTAGCCATGAGAGCTGGGCTGTTTGTAATGCTACTCCCAGTAGGGTGTCTACTAAAACAAAGTTTCAACTCCTGTGGTCTGTCAAAAAGCTTAAGGTCCAGTCTTGGAAAGTATTTGTAACTAAAATAAAAAGCAAAAATAGAACTGCTGATTTAAAGTACATTAACTCTTAATATTATGCCAGAATTTAGGTGAATATTACTAAACCTCAAAAGTACCCAATATTATTTTCCAAAATCCTTGTATAGAAATTTTTTTTTCAAAAATATAAGATGATGCAATTATAAGATACATAGACTATCTACATGGAAACTTTGGCTCCTCTGCATCCTATTATTTTCAATCAATCCCTAGAACACAGAGAACCCAGACATCTTGACAGAAGAATTAGTAACCCTTTCAACAGGACCCATGTGTTCAATGATAATTTATATTAAAAGATAACTTTCAGTATACTTTGTAATTTTGTTTTTCTTTATAAAAGTACCTTGCATTCACATTTACAAGGAAAAAATCCCCAATATTTTTATATTAGGGATGTGCCAAAATTTAACCAATTCTTTACTGTTGGACATTTTTAGGTTATTTCTCAATTTTTGCAATTAAGTATCTTTGTACATTTATCTATGTGAATACTTTTACTTAATTTCTTAGAATAATGCCCAATAACAGAGTTTTCTATGGTAAATATTTATCAAGAAAATAAAAATTATTATAATCACCATCAAATTACTTCCAGAGAGGTTATACTTACATACACTCTAACTAGAAGGATAGCCTATTCTCAAGCTGATAGATTAAAAATGCTTCTACTACTCATTTGGTTTGCATTTCTTTAAATACTAGAAAAGCTTAACATACTTTCATGTTATCAACTATTGGGATTTCTTCTCAGAAATTGCCTAGTTATTTCCTTTGGCCAATCTTCTTCTGAAATATATTGCCTTTCCTATTTGATTTACTTATTTGTCAGTATCTGCATTCCAATGTATAATGATCAAAGCCAAATTAAAAAAGAGTTCTATACTTAACATGCAATCAAAACAGTACTTAATTAAACCACTCAATCTCAGGTATACATTTTTCATTCTTATGGAGTCCTGGTGAGATTATATATTAATTCTATATTTTTGGAAAACACTTATTTTATATTCCCTTTGCCCCAGAAATTCTTTTATGAATACAGCCAAAGAAAATAACTGTGTATACACACAAAGGTAGAGACAGCAAAGAACTATAAATAAATCCACAGGAGACTAGTTTAACAAATCACAATAAATGCATGCAATGTGGTTATTTAAAATGAATGGCACAAAAATATATATTGGCATGGAAAAATGTTCAGACCATTAAAGGCAAACACATGTCACAAAGAATATGCGCAAGATGAACTAATACTTGTTTTAAGTATAGTAAATGCAAATTTATGTACAAAAAGACAAAAAAGATATACATATAATTGTTAACAGACATTAAGTATTGGTGCTAAAACGATGTGCTAGTTTTTTTGTTTGATTTTCTAAACCTATTAAATGGTATTCAAATGATCATAATAATAAACAATCAAACATTTTAATTTCTTAAAAGACTCCCATTCAAATCCTATAAGTTTATTTTAATAAAGAATGATTCCTGGCCCTCTACTTTTAAGTTTTCTCTGATATATTACTAATGCATAAGAATTTCACAGTCCTTATATTGACAACAAAATCCCCCAAAGGGAGGGGGAACCTCACAAAAGTAAATTTTTTCTTCTTCAGAAATGAAATTTTTAAAGATTAAAATATGGTAAATGTTTAGGTTAACAGTGATAAACATCTGGTTTCCCTTCCAACGGGGCTGTCCAATTCTTAAATTACAATACCTGGTGATATCTCCATAAAATGTTCATCTCCATTAGTTCACTAAATACATTTTGAAAATGACCTTCACAAATGATTACTATACAACATATCTACTAATAATCACAAAAGATCAAATTATTAAAGCTGTGCCCAAACAAATGTTTAAAAAAATTCCTGTTACCTGTACTTTGGTGACAGATCCTTTCCATCATCAGGCGGTGGCTCGGGTGGCATTATGAACACAGTATGCTCACTTTTCTGTGAGTCATCTAGCTCTATCAATTTGGTGTCTTCTGCTGAATCAAAATCAACCTAAAAATAATTATTTTCTCCAATTAATTTGCATATAAGCAAGACGTGATTCTGAAACGTTAAAACTTTAAGAAAAAATACCTTATCTGTTTTCTCTGTGCCTTTATCAGGAAACAACTAGAAAAAAAGAAAAAAATTCTTAGTGAAAATGTCTCCTCTGAATTTAATAGAGATTATCTTAAATTATTATTTAAAAAACTATCCTTTTACTAGGCTACTAGGCTCCATAGTACTAGGCTAAAATATAAAATTTCTCTTACGGCTATTAAGAGAGAAGCAATTTATTTTGACTGGTTTCTTCATAAATCCCTCTTTAGAAGCAAAAGATGGGGAGGGGGTGGGATGAATCGGGAGATTGGGATTGACATATATATATACTAATATGTGTAAAACAGATAACTAATAAGAACCGGCTGTATAAAAAAATTAATTAATTTTTTAAAAAAAGAAGCAGCAAAAGATGGGCAATCACAAGGAGAACCTGGCTTCTCAAATCAAAAATTTCATTATTACTAAACCCCTGCATTACTGATTGATATTATCTAAGCTTCTCTCTAACTGAATGATAATGGACTATCAATATTTAAGTAAACAAAAACGTTGAAAAGTTTTAATCATATCCCTGGAGTTTTAGATCACATGGATATAATGGGAGAAAATTATTCAAGTCTTCTAAGATACAGGAATCATTAGGAGCCTATAAAAATTACATCATAATATTCTACCTTTTTTGGATAAAATCTCCAACTTTGTATAATATAGAGTTTGCATAAACAATCAGCCCCAAGACCCACTTTGCAAAAATAAGAGCTCTATTAAAAAATGAGAAAAAATATGTGAGTTATAACTGTCAAAAATCAACTTAAACTTCCTTACGATGGGTGAGTAAAGCTTTAAAATTTAACATATTTCTGGGGCTTCCCTGGTGGCGCAGTGGTTGAGAGTCCGCCTGCTGATGCAGGGGACACGGGTTCATGCCCCGGTCTGGGAAGATCCCGCATGCCGCAGAGCGGCTGGGCCCGTGAGCCATGGCCGCTGGGCCTGCGCGTCCGGAGCCTGTGCTCCGCAACGGGAGAGGCTACAACAGTGAGAGGCCCGCGTACCGCAAAAAAAAAATAAAAAATAAAAAGTGGGCTTCCCTGGTGGCACAGTGGTTGAGAGTCCGCCTGCCGATGCAGGGGACGCGGGTTCGTGCCCCGGTCTGGGAGGATCCCACATGCTGCGGAGCGGCTGGGCCCGTGAGCCATGGCCGCTGAGCCTGCGCGTCCGGAGCCTGTGCTCCGCAACGGGAGAGGCCACAACAGTGAGAGGCCCGCAAAAAGGGAAAAAAAAAAAAAAAAAAAAAAATTTTAACGTATTTCCAAATAGCTTCCATTAGGACAAAAGAAATATATTACCAAAAGTATTTGGAAAAACATTAAAACAAAAGAACACAGGACTTAACACAGGACTTCCATTACCCATAGAGCTAAACTTTCTTTTTGTTTTGTTCATTTTTTGTTTTTGATTTTTTTTTGGCTGCACTGCACGGCTTGTGGAATCTTAGTTCCCTGAACAGGGATCGAACCCAGGCCTTCAGCAGTGAAAGCATGGAGTCTTAACCACTGGACTGCCAGGGAATTCCTAAAACTAAACTTTTTTAATGAACTACTAAATCTTATCTTATTCACATAAAAAAAAAATTTAGGAGCTTCAATGAAATGTTCTTAGTACTTAATACAAAACCAAAGTGAGATTCAAAGAGAAAAATTAGCTATGTATGGCAGTACTAGATGCCACAAAGGAAAATAATTCTTACATTAAGCCCAGAATCGGACACTCGCATGTGTACACACACACACATACTCACACACACACACACCACCTATAATGCCTTCCTCAGGTCATTTGGGCTAATAATAACAATGATGATTATAAAGGTAAACAAACTGTTAAATTTTTTCCCTAATACTGACATATAGGACAAACTTTTACCTTTTCTATGCAGTCATCAAAAAAAGCCAATCCAGTATCTTTATCACTTACAAAACTACATTCTTCAATGAAACGAATAAAAATCTGTGTTTTGGTTAAAAGGGTGTAGAATTTTGTATAGGCACGATCTCGACTTTTTAAAAATCCTGAAGAAAATAAAATTAGAATTAAATTCAGATTTTAAAGTGGAACTAGATGTTATATTAATTATTTTAAACTTGTATATATCCGTATTGTTTTCTCTTTATATTATATATATATATATACACAAAGGGAAAGAGAAAGAAATATATATATTACAGGAAATAGATATCTTCTATAATATATATATTAAGGGACCACAGTCCCTTCTGCCTGATTCAACCTCAAAAATCCTTAACTTATACCATTAACCTTTTCACTGAAATCTGCATCTCCTATAAGGAGCCTCTAGCCCTATAGCTCTCAAGTAGAAACTTCTGATACTCTGCATACTCACAAGCAGGAAGGGTCAAGTCCTTCCTCTGCAATGCCACCACACAATTATTTCTGTATCATCTTGTAAAAATCTCTGCTCATCTGGCTATTATTCCACCCATTCCCCTACTAACTGTAGGCACCTAGTGACTTCAGGGACACCCTCTCCTTCATTCACTGAAGATCAGGGCACCTAATTCAAAGTCTTCTCCTCTCCAACTCCTACCATCATCATTCTTCAACACCCATAAAGACCAACCATCCAACATTTTAATGAGTTTTTAATTCCTTAACTTTCAATGACCTGTGGTCTATTCCACCTCAATCACCAACTTCTACACATAGTTACACACTCCCTGGACTTTTCTTGGTAGCACTGTAAACAGCTCTGCCTCCCAAACCTCTAATTTACATACTACTCCCTGACCATTACCCCTGTCTAGCTGGTATGCTTAAGTTCTTCCTACCAGGCCTTTTGTGTGGGGGATGGGGTAAGGAAGACGATCGTTCTACGTGCACCCTCCTATCTTAACGTCTCTCTCTCTCAAATATTGATTCCATGTCTGTGTACATCATTTCAATTACTTTCTTGTCAACACTCTCAGTTTTTACGCCTTTTTGTCAAACTCATCTAGTATGACCTAGCCCTGGAGCAATGTATTGCCTGCTTTCTCTGAATCTGTGCCAGTGTGGCTGAGCACAAGCTGCGGATGGGAGGAGGCGCCGTTACATAACCAGGTGGATCAGAACCGCTTATACCTTCATCCCTGACCAGCAACCCCACTACATTCCTGGAGTCTGAATTTCCCTTTACCCGTGTTTTCACAGTTATTTCCAATGTTTAAATACTCTCCCACCATGTTCTCTCCCTCATCCCTGAATAATAATACTTTATATTGCAGAGAAAATGAAAATAATTAAATGAGAACTACCTTCATTATCTCACTATAAAATCTATGACTCTTTCTGCAGCTATCATTTATTCCTTACTTTGTTTTACAGTGAGTGTGACCCTCCTCCTATCTAAGGCCAAGACCACCACATAAGCCTGGGATTCCAGGCCTTTCAGTGTTCTCTGGACAATACTCCCTCTCTATTAGCTAGTAACCAGTATACTCAAGTCTCTCTCATTTTAAAAAACCTTTCCTTAGACAATTTTCCAAGGAGGACATTCAGAGGGCCAACAGGCACATGAAAAGATGTGCAACATCATTAATCATCAGAGAAATACAAATCAAAACCACAATGAGACATAACCTCACACCTGTCAAAATGGCTATCAACGAAAAGAACACAAATAACAAATGGTGAGGGTGTGGAGAAAAGGGAACCCTCGTGCACTGTTGGTGGAAATGTAAATTGTTGCTGCCACTATGGAAAACAGTATGGAGGATTCTCAAAAAACTATGAGAAACCACATGATCCAGCAATTCCACTCCAGAGTATGTATATGGAAAAAACAAGAACACTAATTCAAAAAGATATATGCACCTCAATGTTCATAGCAGCACTATTTACAATAGCCAAGACCTAACTGGTCGACAGATGAATGGATAAATAAGTTGTGCTATATATATATACACAATGGAATATTATTCATCCATAAAGAAGAATGAAATTCTGCCATTTGCAACAACATGGATGAGTATAATACTTAGTGAAATAAGTCAGACACAGAAAAATACTCTATGTTATCACTTTTATATGAAATCTAGAAGGTGAACCAAATTAGTAAATATAATAAAAAAGAAACAGACTCACAGATATAAAAAATAAACTAGTGGTTACAGGTGCGGAGAGGGAAGGGGGGAAGGGTTAGATAGGGGTAGGGGATTAAGAGGTACAAACTATTATGCATAAAATAAGTAAGCTACGAGGACATACAACACAGGGAACATAGCCAATATTTTATAATAACTATAAATGGAGTATAACCTTTAAAAATTGTGAATCACTATGTTGTATACCTGTAACATATAAATACTGCACATCAGTTATACTTTAACAAATAAATAAAATAAAAAATCTTTTCCTTAACAAATAATTAGATCCTTCCCTTTTCTGCTGTTTCCCTTCTCAATAAAGGGCACAAGCATCCACTCTGTGGTTAAAGAATCTCAAAGTTGTTCTTGACATCTCCCTCTATCTTACATCCCATATTCAATTGCCAAGTTCTATTCAATCTACCTCCTAAAAATCACTCTTCTATTCATACTACCAACTAATCCAGGTCACTTCCACTGATCACTTGGACCAATGCACTAACCAACTAATAAGTAGATCCATACTTTGGATGCCCCCAATTCAATCTGCAGAGAAGCCAAAGAGATTTTTTTTTAACATTAAACATGATCTTTTAAAAATGCAAACCTGATCCTATTACCTACTTAAATATCCCTCACTAACTTGCAATTACTCTTGGAATAAAGACGGAAACCCTTCATTAGTCCTAAAAGATCCAACATGATCTGGCTCACACCCACCATTTCAAGCATTGTTTTTGAGCCACTTTCCCCTCCAGCCTTTCTTTCTATGATGCTTCAGGACATTACACATGCTGTGGTCCTTACTACATCCCCTTGAGGTATTAATTAGTTGAGAAAGACTTCAATAAAATAGAAATAAATTATTCTTGACAAGTGGTAAGAAAAAGTCTTTTTTTTCTTCTTCTAATGGATCTAGGCAATGATCAGCAAAGGCTGCTAATACAATTAAATGAAAGGCTGGTGGGGAAACTATCAATATAATGAATGGATGAGCCTGATACAACTTGAACCCATGGATCAATCTTGGGAGCACTAAAAATGGGACACAGCCATACTTGCAGTAAGTAGTGAGCATCATGTGTTTTAGCACCACTTGCCAAGAAAACTGAACCTGAATATAATCAAGCTCTAGATCAGTACTGCTTAATTCAGTAACCACTACACACATGTGGCAATTCAGCAATTAAAATGTGGCTGGTCTTTAATGAACCACATACCCAAAGCCACATCACTATCAAGCTGTGGAGCTGGAATTTGAACAGACAATCTGACTTCTGAGTCCATGCCATTATTAGTGATTTATACCCAGAGGTGAAGGTTCAGAAAAAAAAAATGTGGCTGGTCCAAACTGAGATGTGCTATAAGTATAAAACACACACCAATTTCAAAGCCTTAGTATGGAAAAAGAATGTAAAATATTTCATTAAAATTTTTACAATTTGATTACATGTTGAAGTGATACATTTTGGATGTATTAAGTTAGAGAAAACATATTATTAAAATTAACTTCCCCTACTGCTTTTTAAAAAACTGTGTCTACTAGAAAATCTTAAATTATATATGTGGCTCCCATTATATTTCTTTTGAACAATGTGGCTCTTATTCCAACCAAAAGTTTACAGGAAATATAGATGAAAAAAATGTTAAATAACACCATGGGGATACAATCAGATAAAAAGACATGTAACTTCAGGAAATTCTAAACACAGTTTATGGGTGAAATGATGTCCTACTTGGAATTTAGAAAGAAAGGGAGGGGTGGAGGAGGGGAGGAGAAAAGGACAAAGGAAGAGTAAAATAAACATAGATGAAACTAAAACAACAGAATGTAGATTGCTACTACTGCTGAAGTTGGAAGGTAGCTACGTTATTCTCCCTACTTTTATACATGTTTGTTAAAGTATCCCTAAAAAAAGTTAACCCAAAACCGACAGCTAAATCCTATTCTTTTTTCAGGCCCAAGCTTAACTGTTACTTCTTCAGGGAACCTTTCCCCTGACCTAGCTCTCTTACTGTAACCAATACTTTCCTTTACAACCCACTCAGTAAAATGTGTTATTTTATTGTCAAATGTATATATCCCTTGTTAGACCAAATGCTACCCTGTTAACAAAAACCTTAGGCCTCAGACACTAGTTAAATATCTTTCTAAATTCCATTAGTAATGCCTCTCTTCTACTTAGAATGACAGAGAATGAATTAGTGACCCACTACTGTCCATTAGAAAAACTCCATATTCTTAGTCTGGCATTTAAGACTCCTCATAATCCGAGCTCTAATCTTATTTTCTGCTTTATCTTCCACAACACCTCTAAAGCTCCTCACTTGGTCAAATTGTACCATTAAAACTTTTTTCCCGAACATGCCATTATGGGCTGAACTGTGTCACCCCAAAATTCTTATGTTGAAGTCCTAACTCCCGGGATTTCAAAGTGTGACTGTATTTGCAGATATGGCCTTTAAAGAAGTAATTAAGTCAAACTTAAGTAAATAAACTAGGGTGGGCTCTAATCTAATATGAGTGGTGTCCTTAAGAGACAAGAACATTTAGATACAGATTCACACAGAAGGAAGTCTATGTGAAGATACAGGGAGAAGACAGCCATCTACGAGTCAAGGAGAGAGGCCTCAGAGGAATCCAATCCTAGCTACACACTGATCTCAGATCTCTAGCCTCCAGAATCCTGAAAAAAAAAAAAAAAAAAAAAACAATTTTCCGTTGTTTAAGCCAGGGGTCCCCAATCCCTGGGACACGGACCAGTATCGGTCCACAGCCTGTTAGGAATGGGGCCACATGGCAGGAGGTGAGCAGCAAGCGAGTGACCGAAGCTTCATCTGCCGCTCCCCATCACTCCCCATCGCTGGCATTGCCACCTGAACCATCCCCCCCACCCCACCCCGTCCATGGAAAAACTGTCTTCCACGAAACTGGTCTCTGGTGCCAAAAAGGTGGGGGAGCGCTGGTTTAAGCCGGCCAATCAATGGCATTTTGTTATGGCAGCCCTGGCAAACTAATACACATGCCTTGTGCTTTTGTTCTTGAGCTTCCTTCCACTTCATTATTACCACTAGCAATAATACTGTTATCATGAGTATTGTAAAGTACTTTTTCTAGTTGCTTCACATACATTTTCTCATCTAATCTTCACAACTGTGCATGAATTAGGTAGGTATCATCCTCATTTTATTAATGACAAAACAGAACCCCAGGAAGGCTTCATAAATAGCAAAGTGGAAATTCTAATTCAGATTTGACTTTTAATGTCTAGTGTTTTTTAGAAAGTCTTTCTTGCTCATCTCCATTTATAAATTCTACCCATTCTTTAAAGTCATGCTCTTCTTCCATGAAGTCTTCCAAAACACTCATTTGGAAGAATGTTCCCTTTTTCTGAATTTTTATGTCCTCTCACTGAATGATTATGTAAAATCTGTTTTCCTGAGTACTTGCTCTATTTTTAAAAACACGTTAGACCATTTTCCACTGGGTATCCCATGGAGCTGGATTTTATACTTCTTTATATCCCTACATAATAACTAGTGGGGTTTGGTAAATGGCGACTAAATATTTGAGAGATAAGTTGTCCCAAAGCAGAAATGAGAAAAGACAAAAGGACTATTAGGAAAATACAGATTAAAAAATAATAATAATAACTGCAGGGTCAAATTATAGCTATGTAAAACAATTATCACATGAATACTGATGTATCTGTAAGGTTGCCACTACATATATAAGAGCTGCTGAATAACAACAAAAATCTTCATAATTCCCGAAAATAACAAATACTAAAATGAATGAGTATGGTGTTTTCCCCTGGAACAAGGCTGTATTTTTCAAAAATTTTAAAAAACTGGTGGCTTTATTCCAAAAACTCTTTATTAGAGAATACTGTAAAGCCCAGAGTGTATAAAGTCAAGAATCATGCAAAGTGGAGAAAACACCTAAAAACAAACCACCAGCTTTATTCTACTAAGATAACTGATTAGAGTACTATAAATGTCAGCAACATCTTTGACATTTCATAATTAAACACCTCCGGTTTCAGATTTCTCAGGAAAAAAATGGGGTATAAAAATTAAAATAAATTCTATTCATAGAGCTAGATTACAAATACACAGAAGACCATCATATTTTAATATGAATTTCTAAGAACTTATATAGTAGCACTATATTTGGTAGCACTACCAAACAGAAATTTTTTTCATTTCAATAAAAAGTATTTATATTTTCAATGCCACTCACCCTGTCGGTCAAACAATGAATCAGCAGCTGTGGCTTTATTTGAAGGAGCCTCTGTGATTGGTCTGAGATATGTTCTGTATCCTTTTAAAATGGATGCCATAAAGCGCAAAAATGCCTCCTGAATTTCCATCTCAAGTTGTGTCATCTTCTTTTGCCAGGAGAAATCTGCTTCAATTGGAGTCATCTCAATCGCTGAACCTTCCTGAGTTTTTCGGTGAACTGACAAATGAAGAGGAGAAAATGGCATTAATACATAATGTTATATATATAATAATTCGACAAGGGAATTGTCAAAATAAAGCCCATGACTTCCTGAAATTCCTCTATTATTAATGTAAAGGGATCACTGGCAGGGGCTAAAAGGGAGGGCACAGATGGGGCACAGAAAACATGTTCAAAAAACCATAAACCATGGGACTTCCCTGGTGGCACAGTGGTTAAGAATCCACCTGCCAATGCAGGGAACACAGGTTCGAGCCCCGGTCTGGGAAGATGCCCCACACCGTGGAGCAACTAAGCCCGTGTTCCACAACTACTGAGCCTGTGCCCTATAGCCCGCATGCCACAACTACTGAAGCCCACGCGCCTAGAGCCCGTGCTCTGCAACAAGAAAAGCCACCGCGAGGAGAAGCCCGCACACCACAATGAAGAGTAGCCCCTGCTCGCTGCAACTAGAGAAAGCCCACGCACAGCAGTGAAGACCCAACACAGCCAAAAATAAATAAAAAACAAAACAAAACAAAACAGGGGCTTCCCTGGTGGTGCAGTGGTTGAGAGTACAGCTGCCAATGCAGGGGACACGGGTTCGTGCCCTGGTCTGGGAGGATCCCGCATGCCATGGAGCGGCTGGGCCCGTGAGCCATGGCCGCTGAGCCTGCGCGTCCGGAGCCTGTGCTCCGCAACGGGAGAGGCCACAACAGTGAGAGGCCCGCGTACCGCAAAAAAACAAAACAAAACAAAAAAACATGAACCACAACAGCAGTATCTTACTATTGGAGTTCTGTTTTGTAATGAGACTCCCTTTAAGCAGAGCAAAATTATGTCTAAATCTAAGAATTTTCTTATATACATTCTTTCATTAGAAATATCCCTTCCTGGGAATTCCCTGGCAGTGCAGGGGTTAGGACTCTGCACTCTCACTGCAGAGGGCCTGGGTTCAATCCCTGGTTGGGGAACTAAGATCCCACAAGACATGCAGCATGGCAAAAAACAAACAAAAAATCCCTTCCTTTTTCCTCACATTTACCCGAAGATAGCTGGGGATACAATTTCTTCAAGGTGCTAATCAGATTTTTGCATGGCTTTTTGGGAAGCTGCTTCCAGTTCATGTTCTTCTTTTCATCTGATCTATTAAATAACAACATGATTAATAAAGTCCGTTATAATCTGTTTTTACTTAAACAAAATTCTTACGTCAAACTAAAAAAGAAAATGCAAAGGCTATTTTTACTGAAGTTACAATTTGAGAATCTGAACAAGTGGTTTTCAAGAAGTTCTCTTTTCATTTTAACCAACCTCAGTCAAATTTGGTCATCTCATTCTAACCCTCCAACATAGATTTTCATTAACTGGAGTTATGAATACAACACAAGTCTTGTTTCAAAGTTACATTTTAGAATTATAATATTTTAAGTGTCAAACTTAATTGACTTGAGACTTCAAACTACCTATTAGAAGCAAATCTCGACAAATATCAGAGTCAGTAGCATACAGAGCATGTTCTCACCACAATTGAAACGAGTCACCGTTTAAGAAAAAGAAATTACTTTGGAAGTTCAAAAGAACACTTTTAAATAATGCACGAGTCAAATAAAATATTTTTACAGAATTAGAAACGTTTAAAACGCTACAAAGATGAAAGCACTATGTACCAACCATGGGCTGGAGCTAATGTCAGGCCAATATCACTTACGAACATCAATGCTAGCATCTTAAATTCTTAGAGAATTTAATCCACTAGCACATTAAAAAAAAAAAGAGAGAAAGATGTTTACTATAGGAATGCAGGGTTGTTTACTACTAACTGATTTTATAATGTAATTTACCACACTAAGATTAAAGGAGAAAAACTTAATACTCATCTAAATAGTTGTACAAAAGCATTATAAAGTTCACCACCTATTTATGATTTAGAAAAAGAAATTACTTTTAATCTAGAAGTGGAGGGAAGGTTCCTTAATTTATTATTAAGCAATCAAAACCCTAAAGTGGGGCTAGCAAACCTTTTCTATAAAGAATCAGATAGTAAGTATTTTTTGCTTTCAGGACCACAGGACCTCTGTTACAACTACTCAAACATGCCACTGTAGCATGAAAGCAGCCTCAGACCACATGTAACTGAATGAGCATAGCTATGATACAATAAAATTTTATTTACAAAAACAGGCCTTGGGCCAGATGTCAATTCTTGCTTTAAAGCATAAAGATACTTAATGATGAACTGCTCAAACCATTCCCTTTGAAATTAGGAACAAGACAAGATACCAGTTATGAATATTTCTATTCAATATTACACTAGGATCCTAGCCAGAGAATTAAGACAAGAAATTCTTAAATATATAAGTTGTAGAGGATATGACTGTTTATAGCCAGAAAATTGAAGAGAATCTACAAGCAAATGAAAATAAGAGAATTCAAGTAAGCTGCTGGACAGCAGACCACTACATAAAAAATCAATAGCATAGTTATACTCCAGCAACTAACAAATAAAAAATGTAATTAAAATACCATTTACAGTAGCAATAAAAACCATAAGGTACTTAGGAATAAGTAAGTTTAACAAAAGGTGTGCCCGATCTTTACAGAGAAAACTGAAACAGTTATTGAAAAACCTTTAAAAACACCTATGAAGTAAAATACAACATTCACGGGTCCTGAGACTTTATGTCAAAATGATCTTATTTGCCCCCAAATTAATCTATGAATTCAATAGAATTCTAACAAAAAATCACAACAAAATTTTGCATGGAATTTAAAAAACTAATTAAAATTTATATGAAAAAGCAAAAGACCAAATATAGTCTAAACAATTTTAAAGAATAAGCAGTAAAGAGACTTGCCATTTCACATCATTTTTTTTAAACAATGTTATTGAGATATAACTCACATACCATACAATTTATTCATCTGAAGTGTGCAATTTGATGGTTTTCAGTATATTCAGAGTTGTTTTAACAACCACCACAATTAATTTTAGAGTATTTTCATCACCTCAAAAAGAAACCCCACACCCTCTTAGTCACTAACCCACAATTCCCCCATCCTCCCATCCCAAAGTAACCACTAATCTATTTTCTGTGTCTACAGATTTGCCTTGGGCATTTCAAATAAATGGGATCATATAAGGTCTTTTAGCATGAGGTTTTCAAGGTTCATCCATGTTGTAGACAACTTAATTTTCAAGTCATTAAGATAATCTGATGCTGGCAAGAGACTAAAACAAACCAAAGGAACAGAAAATAAGCCTGGATACGTACCCACACAAATATAAAAACTGATATGTGATGGTACTGACTCTGAAGACAGATGGGAAAGAGATGAACTGACCATTCAATAAACAGTGCTATGTGACAACTGTTTACTCATGTTAAAAAAAATAAAATGGTATCTCTATGTCTCATCATACACTAATAATACCAAGTTTAGCTAAATTAAAGGTCTAAATGAGAAAGTCAAAACCTCACAACTTTAAGAATATCCAGGATAATATTTCATGACCTCAAGGCAGAGGATTTCACGTACAAGAACCAAAAATGGTAATCCATAAAGAGAAACTGAGAGCTGTGATCAATTAATATAAGTTTCTGTTCATCAAAAGACACAACAGAATGAAAATACAAATCACAGTGTGGCACAAGCTATTTGCAATGCATATAACAGACTAAGAATTACTTCCAGATTATATAAAGGCCTTATACAAATCAAAAGAAAAAGACAAACAACCCAACAGGAAAATGTACCAAAAAAGGAGGGAAAAACCAAAGAGCAAAAAGAAATTAAAACACCTCATTTGCTACTAATTAGGGAAATGTGAATTAAAGCCACAGTGACATCCCATTACCATCAAGTTGGCAAAAATTTGAAAGTTTGATCATAACAAGTACTGACAATGATATGGAACAAAGAGAACTTTCGTTTGCTGATGAAGAGGGGAAAGAGTAATATGGCATTAGCTATGCCTACCAACCAACATTAGCTCTTCTAGGTATATGTTTCAGAGGAATTTTAACCATGTACTCAAAGAAATATGCATAATAATGATCAGAGCAGTTTTGTTCATAATTGCAAAATCTAACTACAATCTAAATACCCATCAACACTGATAAACACTGAAGACAAAGTAGAGCTACGTGTATCAACATGGATGAACCGCATAGAGAATGATGAGTAAAAAAGCAATTCACAGAAAACTATACAAACATAAATTTTTAAAGCATGAAAAACAAAATGTCATTTATACTAATACATATATAGTATGTATTAGTGGGTGGAATCTGGAATCTGGGAGGAAGATTCATGCAAGTTATTTACATTATTCTCTATAATTCTTCGGTATCTAGAACATTTCATAATTCTGTAAGTACAATTAAGCAGAGTTCAAAATTATTTTACAAAACAGTGCTTTGAACAATAGAAATTATATAGAACTTATTTAAACCTGGGCAAAATTAAGAATCTCTATAATAGGGCTTCCTTGGTGGCGCAGTGGTTGAGAGTCCGCCTGCCGATGCAGGGGACACAGGTTCGTGCCCCGGTCCGGGAAGATCCCACATGCCACGGAGCGGCTGGGCCCGTGAGCCATGGCCGCTGAGCCTGCGCGTCCGGAGCCTGGGCTCCGCAACGGGAGAGGCCACAACAGTGAGAGACCCGCGTACAGAAGAAAAAAAAAAAAGAATCTCTATAATATTCTTTTATTCAGAACAGTAAATAAAATGAGGTAAATATTTGAGTTAAAACTTCAAAATCATTTCCAAAGGCACCACAATATATACAACCTTGAAATAACTTTTTCAGGGATAGTTACTGAAAAAGAATGAAATGTGTATGACAAGAAATATTTAGTGCTTCCAAGCAGTTCATTATTTCCAGGCTGTAAGTAAATCTAAATACACACAGTAGAGATCAATCAAGATGGTAGACTAAGAGGACATGGAGCTCACTTCCCCCCATGAACACATCAAAAAATACATCTACATGTGGAACAATTCTCATGAAAAACTAACTGAAAACTGGCAGATGGACTCCTGTACCACCAAGGCTGTAAGAAAGATACACATGGAAGGGAAGAAAAGTGATTGGGTTGGGACCTGTGCCCAGGGGAGGGGACTCAGAGGAAATGGGAGATTACACAGGTGGACACCCTCTCAGGGGAGTGAGTGGTGAGAGCCATAGATAGGGCACCCCAGTCCTGGAGTCCTACGCAGGGTAGACAAGCCCCCTTGGCTGGCTGGAGGACCACTGGGACTAACAAGAGGCAAAAAGAAAAACAGAAAAAAAGAAAAACAAATTTTAAAAAATGGAAACAGTTTAAGAGATCTACAGAATAACATTAAACATACCAACATTCACATTATAGGGATACCAAAAGACAGAAAAGGGGATCAAAAATGTATTTGAGAAAATTATGGCTGAAAACTAACCAAACCTGAGGAAGGAAACAGATATCCAGGTAAAGGAAGCACAGAGGGTCAAAACAAGATGAACCCAAACAGGCCCACACCAAGACATATCACAATTAAAATGACAAAAGTTAAAAGTAAACAGTGAATTCTGAAGGCAGCAAGAGAAAAGCAAAGTGTCATATACAAGGGAACCCCCATAAGGCTATCAGCTGATTTCTCTGCAGAAATTTTGTAGGCCAGAAGGGAGTGGCATGATATATTCAAAGTGCAGAACAGGAAAAGTCTGCAACCCAGGATACTCTACCCAACAAGATTATCACTTACAGGGAGAGATAAAGACCTTCTCAGACAAGCAAAAACTAAAAGAGTTCATCAATACTAAATCTACCCTAAAAGAACTGTGAAAGGGTCTTCTCTAAATGGACAAAAAAGTAAGAATCTATAGGAAAGGGCAAATCCCACTAGGAAAAGCAAATGTATAGTAAGGACTGAAGATCAACCACTTAAGCCAATATGAAGATTAAAAGACAAAAAACTGTAAAAGCAACTATAACTACAATAAACAGTTAAGAGACAAACATGAAGATGCAAAATATGACATCAAAAACACAAAATGTGGGGAGAGGGAGTGAAAAAAAATGTAGATATTTTAGAATGTGTTTGTACTAAATTACTACCAGTTTAAAACAAAAAGTAGACATAGTTATAGGTCAACAATATATAAAC